GCATGGCTGGCTCAGGAATTCTGGGAGTTGAAGTCCACGAGTCATAAAAGAGCCAAGGTTGCCTACCCCTGATCTAGGGTAAAGGATTTAGGAGTTGGAACTTTTACATCTAATCCAGATTAGATGAGAAATAAAACTATCCCGGAGGATATACAGGGGGACTCTCTATCCAACTTGCTCAGACGGATGAGGCTTCTTGGATAACCATCAAACCATCAAGAAAAGATGGTTCCCTTGACTCAACTTCCAGAAAACTCTACCTGGATCACTGAGAATTTTAATTGACATTCTGTTAGAAAAGAAAACTGATGTATACAGGTGTAGCATATTTTGCTGGTATTTTTGCACTGAATCGATTCACAAATAAAAATATTACAACAAAAATCCTAAGGTTTGTATTTTTTTAGTATATTAAAAGTGAACTCAGGGATAATTCACACATTTATAATTCGCAGTGGAAATTAACTAAAAATGCAGATATAACACTATTAAAACCTTAAAGTATTAAAATAAGAGAAAGAAATAATATTAATAAAATTCATATTTTGATACTATTTTTGCACTCAAGCATTTAATTTTAGATTTCTATTCAGCATAACAGAGGTCAGGATGTATTTATTAAAAATTGTTATACTCTTTTTCCTGTGTTTGCAGACAGCTTCATACTTCATTTTCCCTGTGTTTTTCTCATGTCTATTTTTAATTCATAAGCATACAGCAGATATATTTGGTACAACACAAAAAGAATCAGTATGAGATGATTGAACAGGAAGAAAAAGAAGAGTCTGAAAACAAAAAATTATTCTATAGCATATATTTTCTGCTGTTGCACAATGAGCCTTACAAAGTATGGGTTGAATAATATTGTGTACTCTAGCCAGCTTCTTTTAAGACATTTTATTTTCAAAAAAGGAACAATAGAGATCTTTATAAAAAGAATCTGTTGCATTTGTTGTATTTCTGCGGATCAAGCCGACTACGAAAGAGTGAGGTATTTCCCTTGCCAGACTGATTCACTAAGTGGGGAGAAATTTAATAGTTAATTTATCCTCAAAAAGCAGACAGTGTAGATGTTTATCTTTTGTCTATCTTTTGTCAGTGAGGTTATGCTCAGGCCAATTGAATGTTGGGTGGAGAAAGCTTGTGGCTGAACTTGATAATAGATTCATGCAAATGCTCAGTGCTGCATAGTTCAGCCTACAGATGGTCTTACTGTAAATTCAGCCAGCTCCTTTCCATGATTTAGCTGCCATGACAACTGCACTGCTTTCTGGTGCCTTGTACAATTATGTGTGAAAAAGCTGAAAAGAATTCATATTTTTAGCATTTTCCTACTGAAAGCAGCAAAAGCCTTCCTTCAATCTAGCCAGTATTTATCATTGTCATGGGATAACAAATACAAACATCCCTGTTAAGCAAAGGGAATGAAGTGTTAATATACTTACTAAAGAGTAAGTGTTAATAGATAGAGTTGGACGGATTTTTTTTTTTTATAAAAGTCTATACCAGGGGTGTCAAACTGCCGGCCCATGGGCCGGATGTGTCATCCAGAAGCTGCGCCCACCCCATTGCCAGCAATGGCAAAACCGTCCCGATACGTTGCGTGACATCACGAGTTTGACATGTGTGGTCTATACTCTTCAGTCTATACTCTTCAGCACTCTATCCATGTTTTTATTAAATGGTACTTTTCTCTCATAATCCCTTTCTAGAATGAAATTCAGATAGGTTTACTGGGGTAAAATAAAACACATTGCTCTAACATATCAAATATGTTTAGTGTCTTTAGAAATCATTGTGGAAAAACTTTTTATTTTTAAGAAAACTGTTTCATCCTTCATAGAGCAATTGTTGCTGACTGTAGGCGGTGGAAAGAAAGACTGCTGTTTAGTCATAATTATCATGGGTTAAATTAATATGGAAAAGCTATTGCTCAAATTATGACCACTGTGCAGGCTTTTCAAAAGTTCCAGTCAAATAAATATTTTTTCCCAAATGTCTCTCATCATTTAGGGCTGGTTTAGATGGAATAGAGGGTAATCTTTTAAATGAGAGCAGACTAAAGGAGAATGTGCTTTCCTTTTTTCCTTTATTATAAATACTCCTGAGATCATCCCAACTTTGCTTGAGTATTCAGGCTGCAGCTAAAACCTTGCTCAGTCATTAACATTATTTGGAGCACTCCATTTGTAAACTTGCTGGGTAGCATCATTAGAAGTTGTGTGTGAGGATGTATGTTTGTGGGTAAGCTTTTCTCTTCCATAAAGAGGTGGTAAATGGAGAACTGATGTTGGACAAGCGGAAATGCTCATGTTGTGTACTATGAAAACACATCAGATTCCCTATTTAGTCAAGCCAGTAAAATGGAATCAATTGCCATTATCAATAGCATTCATACAGACATTTCCCAGTTAAAATGGCAGGATTTGTATCAGAAGGGGGGGAAGTGTTACTTCCCATGAATGAGTCCCAATATCATAAACACGATAAGACATTTCTTATTACTTTACAAAATGTTTGTAATTTCTGTTCTGTTCAGTATGCTTCATTGTTTATTTCAGTTAGCCTATTTAGGGATTTATTTTATATGATTTACATTATATCCTATCTTTTTGCCAGTTATGCCTTTAGCAAAATAAATGATTAAAACTATAGTTCTTATTTAAAAAAAAATAAAACACACCAAGAAAATATCTTGCATACTTCTCCAGCTCCATAGATAAAACATGCCTATGCATCAAAGGTCCTGTCTACATTGTAAAAATAAATAGAAGCAGTTTTGCTTGCTGGAAGACAAAGCTTATGAGAAGCCATCAAGAATGCCTTCCCATCAGCTTTGCTTCCAATGAAGGAATAATCAAGAGAACAAGTCCTCTGCAAAATCATAATGCTCAATGCTTTTAAATAAAATCACATGATAAAGTCATAAGTCCAGTTCTGAGTCAAAATATCTTTCACAATGAATCGTGAATTTCTGGAGGCAGCTGCAAGAAAATGTGATGGCAGTGTTTTGATTATCTGCAGTTACCAAACACTTCTCAAAGGCAATTCCACATACAGTTGTACAGTAGTTCATGGACAATTGTAAGAATGCTTCTAAACCAGGAGTGTCAAACTCGCAACGTCACATGACGTGTCACGACATATGATGACTTTTTTCTCATTGATGGCAATGGGGTGGGTGCAATTTCGGCATGACACATCCAGCCCATGGGCCAACAGTTTGAGACCCCTGTTCTAAACAAATAATATCAAATGCATGCTAGAAGACAGCTAAAAATGAGTAGAAGAAATTGCCAAGAAAGCTAAGCAAATAATATATCAAATTTTGTTTTAAGTAGACATTTATTTTCTAGTGTATTCATACTGGATTATATTATATTTCTTTCAATCATCCTTCAAAAAGCATTTTATCCTTAAAAATATCTATATATGTGTATTCGACTATTTGTAGCCTTCATGAATGTGTCTCCTTTTAAATATATATATTCTGGTACCTCTAGCACTGTCACTATTTTGTGAAAGTGAAATCTATTGGTTAGATCTGTTTTGTCATTCACTGTTATTCAGGTTTGTTTGATAATGTTTCTCACCACATAATGAAGTTTAATCATGACTTCTTCACCTTCTATATCCTTTCCGTGGCTAGGTTCCTGAATGTCTTAGATTCAGACTGGGGCTAATTAATGCTAGATCTGTACAAAATTCAATCTACTGGTGGAAGAACATGCAAACTTGGCATGTATTAAAATAGTTTAATGGTACCATAAGAAATTTATTTCCTAAGGTTTTGGGTCCTGAAGTGTGTAACCATAAAGACTTGGATGAAAGGAGGAAAACACCTCTTCTGGTCCTATTAGATCTCAACAGCTTTTGATACCAAAACTATGATATGCTTCTGGACTGAGGGCTGAAGGTACCATGTTGCATTGACTGGGTAGCCCCATTCAGTAGTCACAGGAAAAGAAAGGTAGAGTTGAAGCTTGCTCTAGTGTGTGATACCACAGAGCTTGGTCTTCTTCCCAATGTTATTTAATATCTATGTGGAACTGCTAGAATGGTCACCTGTCTGTTAAGAGTGGGATACCATTACTATCCTACATCAATTATATTTTGCCATAGTGGGTTAGGGCTGAAGTGCTGTGGAGGCCCTGACAGTCTTGGAACTGTCAGCTGGATAGAGGTAATCTGACTAAGCCTAAGCAAAACAGTCTTACTATTTGTTTATAGAAATTTTGGTTTTCCTAAATAATCCCACTTTTAGCTCTAGATTGAAGTTATGGTTCCTCTGAAGAAATTGGTTTATGATTAGGAAGTACCAGTAGGGGCTCTACCTTGACTAGAAGATGCTAATGGCAGTAACTCATAACCTTTTACAGCATGGTTAGACCTGAAAAATGTGTTCTTTCTGGGAAGGTACAACTGGTGTAAGATGTATTGACTGCTTGCAGATAGTTCCTGCCAATGTAGAATGACACTTTTTTTTTTTTTTTGGTCCTCTGCTGCTTCCAATCCAAATTCAAAATGCTATGCCTATAAAACCTTAAACGGCATAACCCTTGATTACTTTAAGAATTGCCTTATCCAAAATGAGTCTTCTCTTCCTTTTAGGTCATCCAGAGAGGGACTTTTTAGGGTGCTGTCCTGTTGAGAACTGAGGGAGCCTGGGTCTATGGAATAGACTGTGCTGGGAATGGACCTTCAGTGCTGTTTATTAGAAAGATGTCATTCATTACCTGTTCTTGATAATTTTTATTGATGTGATTGTTTTTATGTGAAGATCACGGTTGAGATTCATGTATAGCATCCAGAGTCATGACATTGGGTAGTAAAAAAATTAAAAAAAAATAAAATTGTACATATTCATTGTTTATTTGTGTTTAACTTTCAATGGTACAAGCAACAATAATTGCCTATGGAAGGCAAATAATAAATGCATAATGTGAACTCTGCATCTCAGCCTCTGTTGGCCTCTTGTGACATGTTACATTTTTTTTAAGGTTACCTGTTTGCAAGACTTTTTTGGTGACGATGATGTTTTTATTGCCTGTGGACCTGAAAAATACCGTTATGCTCAAGATGATTTTGTTCTGGATCATAGTGGTAAGATACACATCTAAAATGCTTTATGAATTACAAGAATCCACTTAAGCCAACTGATCATGATATAGACAATATATTGTCCATTCTTCTAGAGTAACTAATGTAATCATACCCTGGAGAAATATACAAGCATATTTATTATTTATTTATTAAACTTGTGATATCATTGAATCATTTAAGTTTCCAACCAATTTATAGCAAGTTGGCTGCTGATTTAATATTTAAGGCATTTAATCAGTTTCAGGTTTAGATGCTTTGAATTCTAACAGACCCATTTTCTGGTAAAATACTAAGGCATACTCCCACCCCCAAATCACTAATGAGGAAATGACCAGTGTTTAAATGACTTTATATTATAAGTATTTTCCTCGATTTATTTAATATAGAAAACTGTTTTTCATTTTCCAGAATGGTTTTTAATGGTTTTATCAAATTCTTGTCAATATATCCATAGTGTCTATGGGGAAAGGACATTACAAACATTTTAAAGAAAATGAGATCCTATGTAGATCCACTCTGAGGGAAATCAGCAGATTAGAAATATGAAAAATAATTAAAATAAATTAAATAAATATCATTGGCATAATGATAAAACCAAAATGTAATGATTTGTGAAAGCTAACACTGTCATGGCTTTTACTGGGTGCCTAGGTAGATGAATGTACCCATGTAGGATGCCATTTGATTGTATGTATATGTTACTTGTAAGGGGAGATTTGAAGGATATACAAGTAGAATTTCAGAACTTGATGCCTCTGATCTTATTCTTATCAATTCACTCAGTAAATTATTTTGGTGCCAAACATGATCCTGCAGGCTTTTTATGCATAATACAGCATAGTTTTGTTAACACAGCACAAGTGAAACTCTACCTGATTGGAACAATTCCTGTAGCAATCCACCAAAACATTACAATATCCCACCAAAACATTACAATATCCCACTCATACAGAATTTAAAAAAATGATTGCACACTATACTAACAGAATAGTTAACCTGCCCACAATCATACAGAAAAAACATTCTAATCGCTTATTTTACAGCATCGCTAACAAGTCAGTTTGCTCAAATGTACATTTAAAACAACTTGGGAAAAGATTTATTGAAACAGAACTACACACTGACTTGGCAACTGTATTTTGTTCATTTGGTAATAACTATTTAGGAACAGTAATTTAGGAACAACTACTATTGTGGGTGATTTAAATTTTGGAAGTGATTGTGCATTGAAAATATGTATCCTACCGTCCATCTGTGTTGTTTGTAGAATGCCGTGTTATGAAATCATCTTATTCCCGTGCATCTGGAACAACAAGATATTCTGGATCTAAAAGTCCTGGGCCTTCACGTCGAAGCAAGTCCCCAGCTTCAGGTAATTGAAAACAGAACTGCTCTTTAGAACTTCATTTTTTTCATACATGGCTCAACCCCTTTGGTAGAATCAAGCAATCAGAAATTAGAGACTAAACATTTAAACTTACAAAAATTGCCAGTACAATAAGTAAATTGATATACAAAATAAGGAATAAATACCTCTAAAACCATATTAAAAACATGTAATGTGCTGCAACAATTAATAAAGCTTAACTCATTTTTAAACGTTCAGTAACATTTCAACATCTCTAAGGAGGCAGTTCCATAGAGGGAGCATAGAAAATTGATCATTGCCGTTTTCACTAACAACAAGGAACATGTGAAGGCATTTAAGAACCAAGTGCTCTACCAAGTTCCCGCAAAGCAACTTACAACCTTTAAACCACTATAAATCTGAGCAAGGGATGTGCCTAATATTACATGCACAGATTGTTCCATGCTTGGAACAACTGTTTCATGTGGCCAATGCCTGACCCAAAACATGCTTTTTTGAAGTATTTTGATACATAGAGGGACAAAATGGAGTGGGAGACCAGGGAAAGAGCCAGGGACATGGGTAACTAAGAAGAGTGGGAAATAGCTGAAAGTTTCATGGTGGGTGGTTTGGTAGGCTATGCTGTGGTAGTGCATGATAGTGGTTTTTGTATTCCTTGTTTTTAAACGTTTTTAACAATTGGTAAACCTTTCAGAATTGATGAGATTTGGGCAGCATATAAATTTAATTTAATTTATGGTTGGTTGCAGTCAACCAGATATTTAAACTGATTTGGCATTTTTAACTGCCTACTGAGTCCTTTCCCAAGGACCTGGTGTCAGCAAATGTTGTTGTTTCATAGTGTAAAGGTATTATTGCAGGATAAAAGCTGTTCCAAGTACAAGTAGACTCTGATGTCATTTGTCTGATTAACGAAACACTTCAAAGAACTTTCAGGCATTTTTTTAGCCTAAAAAGCCTTTATTAGTATTACAGAGATGTCAGCATGGCATGGCGGAAATGCTAAGATCTGAATTTCCCTTCCTTTGCACATAACATTCCAGGCATTTCCCCTCCCCTGTTTTGGAGTCATGATTCACATCTTCCAATTAACTTGGAGGGCAAAGATTCACTTTCGTTTCTTTTTCCCGGGCTTTCCTTATATTCTCCTCCCCTTTCACTGTCACCTGATTTAACTCTTAAAATACCAGACAGTTCTGCATATATTATCAAAGCAAGAATATTTAATATTAGCAGTGTTGACATCTGACCTATGACCAAAATTGAATTTGGAATTTGCTTATAAGTCGTTGTGGTTAGAAGTTGAGTTACCATACGACCAGACACAATTTTAAGGCCATTTTTACAAGTAATTAACTGCAGTTTTTAGGCCAATCACATGATTGTTAAATGATCGTAAGTCCAAATCCAGCTTATCCAATGGCCTTTTTTTTGCCAAAAAATAGCAAAAACTTTGTAAAACACAATCATGTAATTGTGGGACATCGCAACTAACAGTGTTCTAATATCTAAGGGGCTGCCACAAAGAAGAGGGGGTCAACCTACTCTCCAAAGCACCTGAAGGCAGGACAAGGAGCAATGGATGGAAACCAATCAAGGAGAAAACCAAAGAATTAAGGAGAAATTTACAATTAATTGGTGGAATGAATTGCCTCCAGAAGTTACGGGTGCTCCAATATTGGAGATTTTTAAGAAGAAGCAGGGTTTCCTGCTTGAGCAGAGGTTGGACCAGAAGACCTCCAAGGTCCCTTCCAACTTTGTTTTTCTGTTGTTTTGTAAATGTGAGCTGGTTGCCAAGAGCCCAAAATTTTGTGGTCAAAATGTGACCATAAAGGTGGTATGGCAGTCATAATTTCAAGGATGGGTCAGAACTTTTTTTGAGTCCATTATAACTTTGAAAGGTCTTTAAGCAATCAGTTGTAAGTTGAAGTCTACCTGAAAGCTGCCTTTTGCAACAGATTGATGGTGATTTTGTCAATGCTGATGATGTTTGAGTAGTGTTCCAGATGTTTTGGAATTGCACACAGGTCACCTATTACCATTGGTACTATCTTTGCTTTGTTTTGCCATAGTCATTCTACTTCTATTTGCAGGTCTTTTTTGTGATTTTCTGCAGTTATTATTATTATTCATCTGTACTTGGTACCAGTCATTGATACAGTAGAAGTTTTGACTTGAGGCCTGGAGGATGTGGATAGAAGAAACATAGGCAGAGGGAGGCTATAATTAGAGTGAGCCTTCATCCAGCTTCAGTCCATTGTGCCAGTTATGACCATTCCTGGAGAAATAAGCCTTTCTGGTAGAACTCACATTATTGGCCCCTTCTACACAGATTACTGCAATGTGCTCTAGATGGGGCAGCCTTTAAAGACTGCTGAGACGCTGCAGATGGTGCTAAGTACTGCAGTCTACCTTTTGGCAAGCAAGAGCCATTGCATATCACACATAACACCAAACAGGGCTCAATATAAAATCTGATATTTTTTGATCTATAAAGTCTTATATGGTTTTGAATCCAGATAGCCATAGAACCATTTGCTTTAAACTCAGTGCCTGCCAGTAAAGCAGGTACGTCTACTGAACGTTTCTTTTCATATGAAATTCAGAGAAGAAGAAGAAATCTGTTCTTTACTGTTATGACACTAACTTTCTGGAATATTCCCTTCCTAGAATCCTGATGGCACCCGCTGCTATTCTGACTTTCAAAAAAGCTGCTAAAACTAAACTGTCCAAAATGTTTTTTTTTGTCATCCAGAAAATGTAGCAATTACTATGATTAGAAGGTTCATAATTTAATAGTAACATTATAGCATACTAATGAATCGTTTTGATTGTTTTGGGTAAGTGGTATTGTTTTTAAGGCTAAATCATAACTCATTTAGCAATGAGGTAGCATAAAATATAATTAATTAATTAATCTCCATATTGGTGATACCCAACTCCAGAACCTATAATAACCTACTCCATAGTTTCATATAAAGGGACAAAATTGCTCTGTACAACAGAGCTGCCAGGGTATATACCCTACCAGGGTACAAAATAATATTTATTAAGATTATCCCTTCAAGTAAGAGAGTGACCATTGTATAGCAAGACTCTAGTTGCCAATTTGAAATGGTGGTCAAATACTGATGAAATGAAGCAGGATCAATAGTCACACACTTTCTGTTTCTTTTCTGTAAGAAGTCACCAATTTGGGCAACTATGGCTGATTCTGTCCTAACCAGGCTTCAGCAGCCTGAAATAGATTCAGATAATCAATGTACTTACAGACATTTTGATTTGGAATGTAATTGTGTAGAACAATGTGCTGTGCAACAGCTTCTCAACATCAGAAGGTGTGAGGAAGACTCACAAAACTACCATTATTAAAGTATGTTTTAAGAAGTTGGTGTCTAGCTCAGGGCAGTTCTCGCATAACAAACAAGACAAATATCAAAAGTATCATATATACACTACAGTTCCCAGTGTAAGGACCAAGTGATAAATAATGTAATGTGCTTGACAATGTAGCGTCAGTATTGTATGACAATAAAATTAAACAGACAGTAATTAAATTTATTCCTCAGAAAGTATGCATGCTCTGCTAAAATCATGGTTTTAACTTAATCCCAAACTGACTTCCCCACCTTTCCCATAGCGTGGTTATGCCTGAAGCACTTTAAAAATGCTTGAAAGTTTCAATTTCACACTTACAGTGATTTTCAACTTGAAATAATTCAGATTTGAAACATTTTGCTCTTTTTTTGCAATAATTTAATGAGTTTTTATGTTAGTTTAAGGAGGACTGCCTATGGTAATATTTAAGTTTATCGTATCTTTGCTAGAAAACAAATAGTTGAATTTTCCCCTTCTCTCTCTGTTGTTTTCTCTTCTCACCTATGAATAACCTTTCTTCTTTTTCTTTTTTATCAATTGAATGAGTACAGTAAAGAGGGGTGGCCACTACTCCAGTACATGCTCTTCAGCAAAATCCCCAGGTGAGCCATTCATGCTATGGCTTCATTTCACCACCTTGTCTCCTACATTTTTATTTTACTTTTTCTGTCCGTTGATCTATTCCTTTATCTTTACATTAAACATCTCTATGATTAGCAAAACTAAGACTTAATGTGTTTATTCCTCTTTTCCATAAGACCTTGGAAAATAGTAGCATATATGTTAACGTTATATTATATTAGATAATTGATTTATTAAGATATCATTTAAGTAGATAATCACTATTAAAGAAAGATGTGTTAACTGAACTCATATAGCTAAATTTGTGGTTGGAGGCATACAGTTACAACAACAAAAATGAGGAAATAAATAAATAATGAAATAAAGCATATTTTATAATTTGCTTATGTAGAAAATTATGTCAGAAATAAAAGTCCTATTAATTTGTGTTAGAGATTTGTTTATCAGTTGATAGGAGTAACAATAGTGGCTTCTAAGGACTTAATGAATGCAGCTGAATTAACTGTTTTGCTTACAGTATACAGTATAGGTTTATAAATAGAGTTTTGTAAATACAATAAACAGTATAGATTTGTAAATAGACTTGTGAAAGATGCTAGTATTTATTAGCCTTGTGAAAAGTTAATAGTCTGATTTTCATTTTAATATCAACTACAGAAAAGGAAAGTTTTCCTTCCTTTCTGTGTAGGATAAAGCATTATGACCACTTTCGTCTTCACTTACATGGCATTACTTTATTTATTACTTCATTTCTCTTAACCTGAAGAGTTGATAAACATGAACTTGGTATTCTGAAACTGTTTCCAGTTTCTGGTTTCTGCCATTGAGTGATATGATTCAAAGTTTTGAAATGTTTTGAAATATTGTAGGTAAGTAATTTTCAGAACACTATGAAAACTCTACACTTAAAATAAGAGGAAAAAATATTCATCATGCATTAGTGTCTTTTGGAAGGGGTTGTTTTGCTATCTGGCAATCCCCTTTTTTCCCTTGCCTTCCATTGCAATATGACTTTTATTTTATGTGGATTAAATCATTCACATCTGTGCGAAGCCAATTATAAGGATGTCTTTCAGAAGATTTTCCTTTTGTCAATTTGTATTTTGTGCTGTTTGGAGCGATGCTGTTGAATTTGGTTAGTTGGCTCTGATCCAGACTCCTAAAACTGACTGATTTTAGTTAAAAATTCAGTTCTGGCTCTTTATAAATGCAAGGAGCGTAAACTACTTGTTATTTTATTTTGTATACCCAATAGATACAAAAAACTTGTATATTCTGCAACTTGTTTGATAAAGATAGAGGCACAAGAGGAAGATATAGACATTGCAAATGTGGTCTAAAAATAAAATGAATGTTGTAATTGTGGGTAGACTGTAGCTCTCCAAAATCCCAGTTACCTTCTCACATTCTGTGTGTTGTGTGCAGATCTGAAAAATGCCAAGGTGGAGAAACCTGTTCTTAATCATTTAAAATGTAATGCTGATATTTCAGAGAAAAAAGCCTAGTTTCTCTGCATGCATGTTGGCTGTAAATATTAAAGACTTTTATTTGTCTATTATTTATTTATTGATTGATTTATTTTAGATCTCATTTGGCATATTCATCTTTGCAGACATTCACATAGCATAGCACTTGTTAAATGAATGTTCTGTTGCCCATTATAGATATTCTTTACAGAGCTCAAATGTGTACGTTGTTACAAGGATTTCCATGGAAACTAAATACCTAGTTGACAGACTCATTAAAAAAAGCAACAGAACTATAGTTGAAAACAGTATGGCTCCAAAAGCATTTTCTTCTTTCTGGGAAATCATGAAAACACTAAAGCATAAATTATATCATTGAGAGCATGGTTGCTATGTTCAGACACCGTATAAATAAGCTATTGTTGGTAGATGTTAGAGTCTGATGAAGCATTATAAAAAAGCTTAGGAAATCCAGTTAATAAAGGATATATTATTTCTGCATTTGTTTTATTTACAAGTATGTATGCCATCCACACCCGGATGGATTTGTTTGACTTTTTAAAATGTATTTTTATTGTTTTTAAATCAATAGCAAGAAAAAAGAAAAGCAATATGTAAAGATAATTATAATGCAAAGACATACATTTTCAAAGAAGTGCATTAAGAAAGTGAAAAATAGAATGCAAAAAATAAAATGTATCAATGAGCAGTTAACAATTCTATATATATATTTATCTGATGTAAATAATATTCAAGTACAGATATATTAATTTCTAATAGTAATATAACCTTAATTATCTATTTAATCTACTGTCATTTGTGTAAATTAATTCTAGATTTCATTACACTTATCCATACAAAGTCTACATCTATAGGCAATCCACTCAAAGGTGACAAATATAACCAGGTTTTCTATTAGTTGAGTGAATGAGGACATACATTTACTTTTCCAGTATTGCGGTATTGGTCTTTTAGCCATAATAAGGGCACAGAGAATCCATTTATGTTGTCCAGTTGTGAATTCCATGCACTAGGTATGAAGTTCAAGAGAATGTTACCTTTTGACAATTTTAGCTTTTTTTAGTTTCATATTTATCTAGTCTGCTACTGTGTCTCAAAATTTAGTAAGTACAGGACATTGTAAAAATGTGTGTTTTAAGGGAGCATGGATCTGTTTGACTTAATACGAGGTAATTATATGAACGGTGGAATAAAAATGTAAGAAACCTGAAAGACTTGGTTAAGACAGCCCCTCCTAAACTCTAATAAGGACAGGTCTGACTTGACACCTAGAGAATTTGTCCACAATATAGATCTCAGGAAAACAAAATTGACTTTTTATGTTGTTTCGGGAATCAGGCTTAATTAGAAGGAGACTGTAATTAGTGGTTGGACCTGCAAAAGATGTTCCATAAGATGTGAAGGTCAGATTTAAAGAATAGGTACTCCTGTATATAACTTGGGTCTTAGTCTTGTAAACAAATAAGCACATTGAACCACATAGTTATTTCTACAGGAGCAATGTAGCACCTGTGAGTAATATAGCATCTGCACTATTTGAGGCCAGCTACAATTTCTGAACAACCTGCAAGGATTAGTCCGTGCATTACAGTAATCCAATGGATTTTCTTGAGAAGGATTTACTGATAAAACATTTGATAGTGAAACAATAATAGCTAAGAAGTCGATAAACAAAGCATATACATAAAGCTTACAGATAGACAAGATAACTATCAATGGTTACCAGTACAATACAGAAGAAAACTCTTAAAAGCAATCTTTCCAATTTGTTATTTGAGAACTCTGGGAACTGTGGTCATAATATAAAAGGAAGGATACCAGTCTGGAAAGATTGTGCTGATGCTTGAATTGACATACCAAGGAAGACTTTCTTAAAAAGTCCTAAGGATAGCCAAGGAAAAGGACTTAGCAAAGAGAATTATCTGGGGGGGGGGAACGTTTAAATACAATGAACCATTGAAAATGTTGAAAACAAAGAAAAAATAAGATTGCTTCTTTGAAAAAAAAGTGATGGATACAAGCATTAGAAACAGGATTTAACAGCTCTTGATAAGCATATCTTGTTGAACTTGTTATACTTCTCATACTGTGTATCACCATAGATCAATTGAAAGCATCACCTCTTTACCAGAACTCCAACTTTTATTTTACTGTATAACACGTTCATTTCTCTTCTTTTTTTATAAGTCAGTGGAGCCCCCAGCAGCCAGATTTCTACTCCTAAATCAACAAAATCATCTGGTTCCTCACCAACTAGTCCTGGAAGTTTTCGAGGACTCAAGGTATATTTTATGTGATTTCATCTGTTTCATAAAAATATTAGGTGGGATTAATAATACTTATTCACATTTAGAATATTGATAACATAATTGGAAATTATTATTAGATTTAAATTTATTATTAGGTTTTAGATTTAAAACATATTCCAAGTGAATGTTAAGCCCTAACAGTAAGAGCAGTTCAACAGCTGGCATGGCAGATTGATTTCATTGGCTAGAACCAAACTAGACCATCATCCATTTTGAATGTTTTTATTTGGATTAGACCAAAAGAATCTTTCCAAGACTATGATTGTATTAGTCTTTTCGGTTTCTTTTTCTTTTCTGTTAAAACCAAATTGTAAAAATATAGGTTACGTTTTCGGGATCCGGAAATACTCAAAATGGACCCATTGCAATAAGTGAAGTTTAGGTTAGATGAGTTTTTTTAAGTCCCACTAATTTTCAGTATTACCTGTTCAAGAAGTCTAAAGGATTAAGTATGGTTATTGATAAAAAGTATATGATAATGCTTTAAGAAAAAACTGGATTGCATCCTATAATCGACAGTGTATTTATCTGATCCTAAAAAACTAAGCTAGACCCATGCATTAACAGATATGTCTTTGAACTGTTAGAAAATGCCAATTAAATCTTATTTAACATTTGATGGATGTCTGAAACTATAGTTCAGAAATATTAAATAACAATTATTAAATATTTAATATATATCCAACATTTCAATTTGTTTTGCATTTTGATGTATGTTATTGCCATAGCATTAGTTGTTTTGTCTACTGACAGATTCTCCCTCCTTGTGAATCTTCTTCTAATGTAAATGGTGTGCCTGAAATATCTCCTTACCTGAATCCTGAAGGTAAGAATCCAATCAGGCATGTTAGTGTTAATTTCAGATTCTTTTTTGAAATAAATATCCATGTAAGTGATATTATAATCTAGAAATATTAAACTTTATTGTCTAACTTTACTTAAACATAACTATAATCTGATGTATATATAAATCGCAGATGAATGGCACCAGTAGTGATTTATAATATTGTAATTAGAGTCTTCCTGTTAGGGATAACCTGCTTTTACTCACTAGTGTAGAGGTGTTACCTAATGGCATGGGACTGGGTTATCAGAGGACTGCCTCTCCCTGGTTACATTAGCTTGCCCCATTAGATCTGGCAAAGAAGTCATGCAGTGGGTACCATCAGCTATGGACCTGCATTTGGTAGGTTCTTGGATACATGACTTCTCTGCTGTGGCGCCTACCTTATGGAACCTTCTTTCTCCCAAATTAGATTACCTCTATTCCTTTGATATTCTGGAAGGCCCACAAGATCCAGTTATGTTATCAGGCCTGGTGCTCTCAGGGAACCAGAGACATGGTTAGAAGGGTACATTGCTGAGGTGGCTTCTCTGTGCCTAGGTTTTGTATATCTGATTTATAAGATTGATTTTTAATGTGATTTTTATTTTTCTATATTTTTTTTCTGTTGCCTCACTGTTGCCCCACCATCCATCTTTTCTTGCCCGTGCTTGCAATGGCTGCACCTGTGCAGCCGGCAGGCTGGATCGCATGCTTCCCCCAGTGGCCACAGCACTTGGACCAACCTGCACTGTGCAGGCTGCAGGACCCCAGAATTCGCTGGCTGATGGGCCACTGAGAGGCAGTGGTCTGTGGCTTCTTTCGGGCATCACTGGGCACCACGTGCTCACTGCCTCCTGTGCGGGCTAGGATGGGCCAGCACCGGGGTAGCGGGGCCAGTCCCTTGCCTCCAGGGTGGCCCTGTGGGCCGTATCTGGGCCCATCATGTCTGCATTAGAAAAATGAGCAAGGCAAGTTAATTTGGCCTTATTTAAGAAAACCGTGCTCTAAAAGTAACTGGATTCTCTTTATTGAAGTATACTTTGTTGCAATGAAACACTTCCTGTTGTCTTCAAGCTTTCCGTTGACTCTTACCTCTGTCATTTGCAAAAGTCAGATGTTTCTAAGGAGGTACTTCTGGCTTTAGGAAGTTCTGGAAAACACTTCAGTTTCAAGGAGAAGATTGGTAATATTCTAAAACGCAAAGACAGGACAGCAAGGGCAATCTCTCTCAATACAAGCTGGGGGGCATAATTCTTAAAGAAGGCTGTGGGTCATAGCGTTCTCTGGCTTTCGTGATGTGGGGATATCCTCACAGATTTTCCCAGTGGCACAGGCTTCAGGATTTTAGCAAGTCATGCTGCAGAATACTAGCAAGAATGGAAGTAACTTTGGTGCAGCTGCTTCACATGTGCAGAAGCCTCTTGTGGCCTTTGCAAATGTGAAGGGGCTGTAAATTTTAGCAAAGTAACACAATCTCTTTCATCTTAGAACATCTTTGATCAAAGAAAAAATATATAAGTTTAATGCTGACTGGAAACCTCATATCAACTTTTTGCGTGAAACAGAAAAGAATGAATTTATGATATATGGATTTCATGATTAGAAAAAAAATAGAATATAGAAAAAATGAAAGTCATGTTTTATCTATAGAGCAAGGGATTAATTTACATTTAAAACTTACAACTGCTGCAAAAGAAAATTAGAAGTTACTCCTTTATATTTTCATTATTTCCTTTTTTCTTCACTTTTGACTTTATCTTTCCTTTCTTCATTTCTTCTCGTTCTCCTAACTATTCTTATTTTTATATTTCTTGTTTAAAATCTTAATAAAGAGCCTTACTTAAACCTTTTCTTCCATTTTGGATTCATTTTATTCTGATTTTTAAACAGTTTTATAGCAACTGTTTATCTTTGTATTTTAACAATTCTATAGCAATTGTTTATATTTGTATTTTCTCTAACATTTACCTTTTTGTGTCTTGAAGGCATAAATGGAAACAAGTACTCTGAGACATCCACCATTCTTGAAAAGTACAAAGTGGGAAAGGTGATTGGTGATGGTAATTTTGCTGTGGTAAAGGAATGCATAGAACGGTGAGTATGTATAACATTATTTCATTGCAACTTTAGAATGAACAGTGAGAACATATAGGCAAATTATTGTAATTTCAAGGAGAATTTTAAAGGTTCTTCCTCCTTTCTGGAACATGTTAAAAAACTGGAAATCTCTACTACAAATCTCATAACTATTATTGGCATGTGAAAATAAATATCAAAATTATTTATCTATTTACCTGGGGGGGAGCATGATGCCCATCATGATAATGGATTATATATACTAATTCAGTGACTAGCAGGAAATTTTGAAAAAATATTATTAGCACTAGAAACTAATATTATTAGTCAAACTACAATGTATATTCTTGATATTCTATGCAGTTTCATGTTTCTAGCTATTTCACTTTTTTTTTGTCCAAGCTCATTGTTAGAAAGGTTGGGGAAAATATTTCTTAAATAGAGACACTTGGTTGAGATGCTAGGTTATAGAAATTGAATAAATAAATAAATAAATCATATAAGGGACAAATGGTAAGAATAATGGGAATATTCAGTGTATCAATAACTTTATTAGCAAAGATAGGCCAACACCATTCTTTTTCCTTTTGTATAGTAATTGTCAGCTATGATTACAAATTCCACAAGACAGTAGTGTAAATTAGAGTTTTTAGTGGAAATTATAAAGGTAACTTTGTTTAAAAACAAGGTTCAAATCTAGGAAGCCCCCATTACCACTTACACAACATCTGCTCAATAACTTTTATATCTATTCCCAATGGAAGGCCAAATGAGTTGCTGAAGATCCAGACATACGAAGACATATAAATGAACCTAGGTATCAGGTTTTTGAAGTACTATGCCAGCAATGGACAATCCTGAAAAGGATTTGCACCTGCACGGCATAGTATCCTCCCTTCAGTGTGACTGCGGGGTCCCACATCAAACTGTAGATCATGACCAGTTGTAAGCTAAGGGCATATACTGGTCCAATATCTGGTTTTTTTTCTAATATGAACAATGTTGTGATTCATTGGTTAGATGGCTTAGATGTTGGTGTCTGATTATAGAGATTTTTAACATTTTTAACATTTAACATTTTAACATTCGTATTTTATTGTGTTTTTTTTTAAATCTTGGTGAAATGTTAATATATTTTGCAAATCGTTGTATGATATGCCATACGCTAAATAAATTCAAAAACGAAACAAAATGAAAGGATGAACTTTTATCTTTTGGAATGATGCAAAATACATATTACTGGTAATGACTGAAAAAATAGTAAGTTAGAAGCATAGAAAAGTAACAATTGACTTGGGGCTGACATGTTTTCAGTTGCTTTAATTAGTTATAGTGGGAATCTATTTGTATTTCTTGACAGCACAGCTCCTTTTCTGAACTGCTTCTAATTTTTGGTAAGAATTTTTTTTATTAATTAGAAAACATCTTTAATTTTGTAGTCATGGCAATTATTTGTTTTTTTTTAAAATGTAGAGATTCTGAATGGGGGATTAGAGAACTAGCAGGTATCATATTTGAAAAGTGTATGCAGAAGTTTAAGGAATAGTGCTATTTGCTCAAATTTCTTCCACTTGTATAACTCTTATACAATCCAGTCTACTTTTTCTTAAGATATTATTGAGTTGTCTTTTTCCCCCTTTCATTCTCAGCTGGCTGCAGTTGTAACTATGACAACCTGGCAGACACAGCTGTGCTTTCATAGCAGTGTTATACTTCTACTGAACCAACCACCTTCAATATATGCAATTCTGGTGTTATGCTTGTATAGCAAGATTTGATAGCCTATATGCCTGAATGTGTAATGTTTATTATTCTTATTCTTGGTGTTTCTTTTTGTTAATTGGCCACAATAGAAAGGTGTTTTATAGTTCCATAGATTATTCCAATATTATGCAGACCATGATTTATTATATTCTTGCTGAAAACAGATGTTTAGTTTCAATTTATGGCAAAAGTGGTCAATAAATAAAAAATGAGTTTGCTTAACAATGGGTTGTTCCACAGTGTTTGCTGAATAACTGTAGCATTTGCTTTAAAACCAAGCATTCACTTAATGAACTCTGCAAAAAAGGTCAATTTGATTGGGTCAATCATGTGGTAACCAGTTTTACAATTTTTACATCTTACCACTTAACTGGCAGGCTCTATTATGGTTGAAAGTCTTGGACTACTTGTAGCCAAAAAGGGTAACATTGAGTAATATATAAACTAGACACACCATTTCAATCCATAACATTTATTCCTTCTGTAATGTTTTATTTTCAAATGAAGTTACCTTTATAGTTTCCACTAGAAAATATGGTTAGCAAAACTATATGGTGAAATCCTAAATAATGCTACATTAAACACTTCTTAAACCTGTAGCTTCAACAAAAAATTGAATTATGATTCATTGTATTGTATATATAATTAAGACAACTGCCTTCCCAAAACAAGATTTCTCTGAATTGTCTAAGTTAATAGACACTGGTGAATATTTCTAATATGGCTTGTCCTTTAAGGATATAAATGTGGAATGAGTAGCTGATATAATGAATTTCAAAGAAATATGTCCATCTTATTCCTTATTCTCTGACAGATCTGTAAATATTATAATAGAACTACAAAGCTGTATGTTTATTAAAATAGGGTGAAAAATATGAAGTACCTGACCATAAATCTGGACACAATGTGAAGTTTTATATCTCAGTAAATTAAATGATAACAGAAAGGCTGGCTTTTGTAGTCAAGGCAACAGCAGACATGACTTGCTGAGAGAAAGAAGCAAAAGCCGTTCTATCTTCATTTTGTAATCTGTTCCCTTTGAACAAAGATATTTTCACAGTGTGTACTCAAACAAAAGAATTATTTAAGCACTCTTCTCTCCTCCTTTTGTTCTTTGTAGATCCACCAGAAAGGAATTTGCCCTGAAGATTATTGACAAAGGAAAATGTTGTGGAAAGGTAAAGAAGAAATACTGAATTCCTGTATCATAATACCAGAATATTAAACTATTTTAAGTATTCACTTATTACTACTGTTGGAAAATATTTTTTCTTGGAACAGCATTTACACCTTCTGGGTAAAATGTTCTTCATATAAAGCTATAACAGTGCATGTATATTCACAAAACTATCCTTAGGGAAATTTCATAAAGATAGTCCAAGTTGTAAATTATTGAACTGGGTATTGAAAAAAATAAAAAAAAATCAGTAATATTAAGCCATCCCCCTTACTCTTTAATTTTATTTTTAAAAAATTAAGGTGGGTATATTTTTTAAAAATCCCAGTACCAGAATAACTAGAGACACAGTTGAAAGTATAGAATAAGTTATAAGGGAAATAAGCAAATATGTAGACTTAGTCTTTAACTGTTATAATTGTAGGAATTGTAAAAAGTATCCAGTTTCAGAATATGATGATCAGAATAATATTTGATTGTATTTTGTGTGAATAGGATCCTGGAAGCAACTGGTAGATTAGTGCTTTATTTGATATTTTGTAACAAAATAGGGAAAGGTGCATGCTTCAAATATTATTTTTCTAGAGAGGTTTTTTGATGGCTGTGACTGTCTTCAGTTCTTGTTTTTGTATCAGCCTAGAGATTTGTCAGATGAATCATTACTTGAAGTTATGATAACTAAGTTTGTGAAGTTCTGTACATGTTTTACTAGAAATTGTCTTTGGTTTACTGTTCCATAAGGGTTTGATTTAGCTGCAGTGAAAGAGCAATGTGTTCTCTCAATGTCTTACTAGCAGATTCAAAGAAGGATATTCAGCAACTGCTTAAGTAGCTTTAATATATTCTGCCAACAAAACATGTCTCTCCCTTCACTTGTAGCAAAATTACACAGCAAGTTTATTATCAAATCTCTTCTTCCTTTCAGTTTAATGCAAGGTTACAAAAGAACCCCAGCTATATACAAAAATAATGCACTCATTACATATAACATGTTATATTTTATTTCTGTTATTTCTTCTGATATACTAATTGTTGTGACTTAAGTTATTTCAATCTGTCCTTTATTCCAACTTTAGTATGAGTTCCACCTTTTCCCTATTAGGCCATTTACTGAGTTCCAACCTTATTGTCATTCATATATTGCATTTTTTCCCATTCAGCACATATTTCTTTGGAGCAGACATATGTTTGTTCCAGAAAGACTGTTGATGCTTTCTTATAATGGTTAACAAAGGTGCGAATTGTTAAAGCAATGTGTGATGTACCACTTATTCACAGAATATTCACACTTAGCACATGGGTTTCTAGTAACTAAAGTATTAGAGTAACGGCTAATGAAACGAAAATCAATTTGAACATAAATCAATTTTTTATCTTTATGATGAATACAAAAATAGCATTGGACTTTTCAAATACTGCTATTGTTCCTTGCTCATAAACTATTCACATGTACTTCCCACAGTCTTCTTCACAAATGCATGGTGCATGAAAACAGAATGCTTGTACTGTGCTGAGGATCACAATTCTGATATTTTAAATAAACAGCTATGGGAATGCACCTAGTTGGCTACTTGCAATTGAAAACACCAAATATATTATTGATCAGTGATTGGTTTTCATACTAAAGTAACTTTAATTAGTATATTTTGGAGCTATTATTAGTAAAGGGATTTCCAATTCCAATTTATTGTTTTGTAAATAGATAGCCACATGATCAAGTATCGAGATGAATACTGGAAAGATCACTCTAGATTGCTGTTTCTCATTTAATTCTTCAGATTATATTAGTTAAAAAAATACGCTTTCCTCCTCTTCTAACAATATATAGGAACACTTGATTGAAAATGAAGTGTCAATTCTACGCCGAGTGAAACATCCCAATATTATTATGCTAGTAGAGGAAATGGATACTGCAACTGAGCTGTATTTGGTGATGGAATTGGTCAAGGTGAGGTTTTAGGTTTATGTTTACCATTATTGCATAATATGTTGTTGAGCGTTTCAGAGATCTGGAAATATTCTTAATTGTCACTGAACAGAAAACTATATAGTCATATACAAGCATACCATGACTTTTCTGTTTCTTTTTGATATTCCATCCAAGTATAGAAAATATTGCAGAAATAAACTCTGATTAGAAAAAAACCCATCAGGTTCAACATGAGACCTCATAGATTTTTCTTGATTTTTTTTTTTTGTATTTTAATATTAGGTGCTATATTTCTTGATATGTATAGCAGAAACTGTTGTCTTATATTTTAAAAATCTCATTTTATCCACATTTTTATGTATGAAAATAGATAGTTCTCAAGTAATCTTTCTATACTTATGAATTCTTGCATTCTGTTTGTATATGCTGAGAAATTCTGGAAATTGAAATCCATATACTATATCTGGGAGGTACCCAGATTGGTAAAGTAACCCTAAACCTAACTTTTTAACTTTTAAAACTATTTTATAGCCAATTCATTTTTGTTATGTATATACAGTATTATAATGGGTTGTTGAATCTTGTAGAAATTAAAGGAATTACTAAAGTTATAAAAATGAAGCAAATATAGGCCTGTACAGTGTACCAATTAACATAAGTTATAGTATTATTATAATACCCTAACTTCCATCATCTTATCCACCTGCTCAGATAGGGGCATAATCAATTGAACACCATTCCATCAACTCCCAATCATTACTCTAATTAATTAACCATCACTCAGTTATTCTTTAAGGACCTCTCCTCCCCCATCCCCAAGGAAGCAAACTCCCATTCTTCACTCTGGAAGCCAGGTGGGGCTGTACAAAGGTCCAGCCTGTCAGAGACAGAACTAAGATCACTGAAATGTCTGCCCACCTCTTTGGGATCCATAGCCTCAGCCCATCTGCTGGTAACACCACAAGAGGCCATCTGAAAAGATTCTGTCCACTCACGTTCAGTTTGGAGTGAAAATGAGTAATAAATAATGATCAGCTATATATAGCTTTTTATTGTTATTGTTATTTTGTCTACATCATTTCATATGGAACTGTTAATACAAATATTATCTTCCTAAATAAACCCTTAATGTAACTAACTTTTAAATTAAGCTATGTCATTGATCTAAACATTAATAATATAAATTGTTTCATTTTTTTGTCATTTCCTTTCAACATTTTTATTTACAGGGAGGAGATCTTTTTGATGCTATTACATCTTCAACAAAATACACAGAGCGTGATGGAAGTGCCATGGTCTACAATCTAGCCAGTGCACTGAAATATCTTCATGGTCTCAGTATTGTCCACAGAGACATCAAACCTGAGAATCTTCTGGTATATTTCTTGTTTTCTGTATATTATTTTAAGAATGCATGAAAGCAGCATTAAGCAACAATTTCTTTACAGAATTAGGCCTTGAGCATAGCCCAGTCATTATCACAGAACATCTTATATCAGTGAAAATATTGCCCCTGCTATTAGCATTAGAAATCATAAAAGAAGTTTTGCATAGAAGGGGATGCCACCTAAAAAAAATGTTTTAGCAAACTACTGATTTAAAGTAACATTTAAGTTCTTGTGACTTTAAAAATATTACAAGACAACAGTAACTCAACATATCCGGCATGTTGTTACTGAATATTGCTCATAGGTATAGTATTGAAAACAAGGACTTTGATAACAAAAAAATTACAGCATCATTTGTTTTAAATCACTCTTTACTCAAATTTTGGGGATATATGTGTGGTATTGGCATGACCATTAAAATCAACTCCCATCATCATTTTATGCATTGATTTTTAATGTTGCTTATTTGATATTTAGTAAGGTACCATATGACAGTAGGTAGCACAATGAATTTGAGCCAGTTTGGTCTAGCGCTTAAGATCCCAAGCTAGAAAGCAGGAAACTGTGAGTTCAAACTCTGCCTTAGTCATGAAAGCCAGCCCCTCTTCCTTGTGGCAGCCCCTCAGATATTGGAACATTTCTATCATGTCACCCGTAGTCCTTCTTTTCATTAAACTAGACATTTCCTGCAATTGTTCTTCATATAGTATGTTTTAGCCTACAGACCCCTAATCATCTTTGTTGCTCTTCTTTGCACTTTTTCCCTAAAGTCTCAACATCTTTTTTATATCATGGCAACCAAAACCGGATTCAATATTCCAAGTGTAATCTTACCTAGGCATTATAAAATGGTATTAAACTTCACATGGTCTTGATTCTATCCCTCTATTAATGCAGTGTAGGTCTGCTTTAGCTTTTGGGGCTGCTGCAGCACACTGCTGGTTCATATTTAAGTGATTGTCCACTAGAACTCGAAAATCCTTCTCACAGTTGTTACTATTGAGGCAGATGCTATTCTGTATCTGTACATTTGGTTTTTCTTTCCTGGACTCCCTTGAGTCCAGTTTAGTTTACAGTAAATACAGGAACATGTTCAAGAACTCTTCTTGATAGCAATACAAAATGGGATTTGCCACAGTCTTTGGCCCAGAGGAGTGTATGTGAGAGAGTTTTAATTTTCCAGTCTAGCTAAGAACTCTGTGTCCAACTATAAACCAATTCTGAGCTCTGTGTTCCAATTTCTATCTTCCCTTTTCATTTTTACCAATAGATCTGCCCAGGTTATGGCTATTATTATCTCTGTTTTTAAAAAAAAGAGGAAAGAAGGTGTAGCCAATAAATATAATTAGCAAAATCTAAGTTAGGCACTTATACTTTGTAGAACAGCTAGAAGATAATTGTTTAGCTCTAGAGCAAAACAAGTTGTTCTATTGCAGGGGTAGTCAACCTTGGCTCTGTTATGACTCGTGGACTTCAACTCCCAGAATTCCTGAGCCACCACGAGTCATAAAAGATCCAAGGTTGACTACCCCTGTTCTATTGTAAATCAAATTTGGTACTGCACCATTTAATTGAAAAATATACCACATGGTCCTAAAACAGCTTTATATGCTACTAGTTCATCATTTCAGAAATATTTTCTTACCTAAGTAAACAAACAATGATTGAGAGCAATAAAAGCGCCAGATGTGGACATTATTTCTAACTTCCTGCCAGCTTGACTGTTTTGACTGCCCTTCGGCAGCTGATGCTGGGACTGGTCTACCTAGCCTCTGGAAGGCTAGGAGAAGACTGAACCTCTAGGCAGCCGCACTGAAGCTACCACAAATGCTGCAATTTATATTTTACCTTAAGCAGTTCTTGAAGGTGAGCAAGATTGCCTATGCAGAAAGGGTTTATCTGTGTGATGTACGAGCCATTGGGTTCTTGGCATACGTAGTGCTATACTGGAAATTTTTTACAGAGATCTTAGAAAATCTTTATTGAATCCCCTCCTCAAATCTTTGGTTAATATCCTGTTAAATTGTATATTCAGTATCTTTTATTAGATAAAATAATATACACTATGGCTACATTTTTTTTTAGCACGGAAACTTTGTGAGTAACTACCTCTAAGAGTAGTCTTAGAAATAAATAGCCTTGCTGCACAACCATAAGGAATCTCACATCATCATAATTATTAGCATTGTCATCATTTATAACTATTGTATCTTGAATTGGATTGGATTTTGACTAAATACATTTTGATTTAACTGAAATATTAGATCAGAAAAAGGCAGGTCTTTATTTTTGTATCATTATTTAGCCCCTTGATTTTTATTATTATACATTGTTTCTAAAGCTCACTAATATCTTTTATTAGTCTAAATGTAAAATCAAGTTTATCAAGATACTAATTAATATGCTATTTTAATACAATTTATATTCCATTGTGTAGTTTTCATATGCATTTAGTTTTCATGTAGATTTTAGTGTTAATGAAATTTTTATTTTTCTACATTATTTTATGCTAGTCAATGACTATGATAAATATTTTCATTTGATTTGATCTTATTTAATTCTTTTTTATTTTTGGTTTTACATAACTAAAAGCAGCTATGTGCTGCCATCTGCTGGATTTATAGAATTGCTACATTTCAGTTATGTGGGAACATGGGTCGGTGGGTACGATGGATAATGAAGCAAAAGTATAATTCAATTAATCAATATTTATTATGATTTATGATCAATTTATCTTTAAAAAACAAAAACTGAAAAATAGGATTTGCCTACAAAGTTATCAGTCATTGATCTTTTTTCCTTAATTTATATTGGGAAAAGTAATCCATAGTTGTATTAATAGTTAATAATTGATGTACCTTATTCTACTCTAACCTACAAGAATGGAACAGAATTGATATCCAGATTAAGTATTTCTTAGATTTTGGTTTCACCTTCTTTTTAATATGCAAGATGCTCAACTAATATAAACCTTTCTTTCTGGACAAAAACTGGGTCCAATGCACTAAAGTTTGTTCAGATTTTTAGCTATATTTTAGCTCAAATCCCTTCTTTCTTAAGGGTAAAAGTTTTGTATCTGTTAAGTTTTCTTCAGTCTACCTGACTTTTCAAGCCTTGGTTTGTTTTCTCAGTTCTTCCTTTTTTCACCCATCTATCTTTGGTTTTATTTTCCAGGCTGTTTTTGTTTTGTTTTGCTTTGTTTTGTTTTCCAACAATCCTTCCCTCCTCTGCATGGTGTTTGTTGTTTGTTTGAAATGACCACCCATCTCACAAATGAGATTCTGAGGGATAACAACATATTTATAAAATAAAATCAATATAAGTAATGGGTGATATTTTGTGTAGTTTTTCGTAGCCATATGAACTCTTGGCCGCAGCTTCTGACATCAGAGTGCTCTCATTTTCTTGATCTTTATTTTAAGGACCAGAACAAATAATATTAGAGTAAATATCAGAATTCCAATTGAACTATTTTCTTCTAATATTTCTACCAATATAGAAATATCAAGGACATTAACTTTCAAACTGTTAACTGCTGAAATAGGAGTTTTAATCTTTGCAACTGTGTCCAAAGACTGAGGAACCTTAAGTATCATATATTATACAATGAGAGAGGGGGAGGGAGGGAGGGAGATAGATAGATAGATAGATAGATAGATAGATAGATAGATAGATAGATAGATAGATAGATAGACAGACAGACAGACAGACAGATAGATGTAGGTATAGATATATATATAGATATATAGTTTAAGACTCAGATATTGCTAATATTCAGAAACCATTATATAAACAAAAAGGGAGAAGCATTCCTTAAGCCCTGGTAAACTAAATAGCTTTAGAAAGAATTTCATCTGTTCCTCCTTGATTTAGTTGGTATAAATGAGAGAAAATACAATTAGAGTGTCTGTGACCTTAGCTTGTCTAAATAAAGTATAATTCTAGTTTTACTTTGGAGTCAGTTTCCTGATCTGGTCTCCTTCAAAGGGCTGACAAACTATGGTAGTTGGTTTTGTAATCAGTATTGTTTAATCAATATTAGTTGGTTTGAAACCAGCAACACATAAGTTTAGATATAATTTGCAGATTCAGTCTGTGTGGCTAGATCTAGTTCGGTCATAAAAATATACAGCCTTTTCTCTAGGCAGCATTTTGGGCAAAATTCTATATATTTGGGGTTTTCTGAAGTGTAATTTGGCTTGTTTTTATATGTGGTATTAATCTCCAGCTAAGGTGAGAGAGAAGTGTGAAGAGGGACCTGAATTTAGAGTCCTTGCACAGCAAGAAGCGGTATAGATATTATCTCTCCCAGAATCCGTTCCCAAGGCAATGAAGTCAGGCTGGCAAGATTCCTGTAAATAGGCCTGCAACAAATAAAGAAGTAACTTTGATCATCTCATAGTGTCATTTGGGTTCCTTGTGTCTAAAATATTGCACTAAACTGATCTTAGGAATTGCCATGTTTAGCTCAACTATTTAAACTAATGTAATGCAAAGAATGTATGCTGCCTAAGAAGCGATTGGACAACTATTTGTCAGCCTATTTCTAAATAGTTTAATACGTGCATAGTATCCTAGATTGCCTAACCATGTTACTAGATATTGTTCCTATTAAATTGCACAATATGATTTATTATCTTTTTGCCCCCTCTCAGGTCTGTGAATATCCAGATGGGACAAAATCCTTGAAGCTAGGAGACTTTGGATTAGCCACTGTAGTTGAAGGACCTCTTTATACAGTCTGTGGCACACCAACCTACGTGGCTCCAGAAATCATTGCAGAAACAGGGTGAAAATTCATTTTAAAATAGAGTTTTGATGTTCTTAGTCCATAAATAATATTAACTTTACTTTTTAAAAAAACTAAATGTGATCAGTGCCTGGTTATCCGAACAGGTATTGTTAATATTTTTAATTTATTCTAAAAACTTGTCTAAAAGCCTGTTGCAAAATGCAGCTTATCAAATTTTGTAAATCAGAGGTTTGTTAGATATAATCTTAAATTTGCACCTTACTTACTGAAGAGAACTTTTTCAGTGTCTGATAGATACAAGTAGAAAGGTTAAATGCAAAATAGATCAATTATACATAGCATGGAACAAATATTAAAAATAATAAGTCCAGACTATACCCTTTACTAAAATATTTATTTATTTAATGATCACTTTTTACTTTTTAGCATACTTGCCTTTACTAAAATAAAGTTGGACAAAAAATAAAAAGTGATCAGTTGAAACCCTGATCATAAGCTTTAAACTTTAATTTAAAAATATGAAATCATTCAAGACTCTTTCTTGATATGGTCAAAATAGCTAATTGGTTTCAATATTTTCAAATAGCATAGTTCAAAGAATTACAAAAACAAAGTGGCATATTTAGAGATTTCATTGAATTTGAAAAGCTTAAAATACAAAACTCAAAATCTGTTAGGACTTACGTATAAATTGAAATATTCAGAAACTGAACAAGTAAAACTGCATAATTAAATGGATACAAAATGTAAACAAGATATGCAGTAATAAGAATATCAATGGAAGGAAAATATTTAATGTTCTGTGAATATTAGAGAAACTTAGGAAAAGTATTGTTTTATTGGCTGTTGACAAAAGGGATACTACATACTCAAAATAATTTCTGTAAATGTTATAATTGGATTTGATCATTTTTACATATATGGTGGCAATGCCACAAAACTCAGCAGCTTTAGAAAGATGATTCATAAAAATAGGGTGAAACAAATTTTAAATATTTACAGTACTTCACTTTACCTCAGAATTGGTTTTATATATATGTATATAAAATTGTTGCCAAGATTTTCTATCTTTCCCATTGGAAATTACATTAAGTTGCTTATTAGTTTGGCAAATTAAATTTTGGATTATACACCAATATTAAAAGTGATATTTTAAAAATGATACTAAATTCAATATACCTTGGTGTATACTGTGTATTGTAATATATTTAAATTGCAACTCTCCCAAACTTTTTTTTATAGTTATGGCTTAAAGGTGGACATTTGGGCTGCAGGTGTCATTACATATATACTCTTATGTGGGTTTCCACCATTTCGTAGGTAAGTTGAATCAATAATGCATGAAAAATATTGCATTTGCTTTTTAGCCAAAGTGCTCTGATTTTTAATTGATAAATATTTTTGCTATTCCTGTTTAAGGAGATGTCCTAACACTCATCTAGTTTCCCAAAATTTGGGGTAACTGATGATTTTAGTTTATTTCCTGTATTGAAAAAGTGACATTGATAAAAGAAGGAATATGTAAAATTACATTTTAAGCAGACTTGATTTCCCCAAAAATAGGTGCAACTTATATGCCATGGACAGTTTTAATTTTGAAGTTGTCATAGATATGCATGCTTAATTCTTTATATTTTCCTATTTTACATACTTGCCATTGTATCAGAAATTCAGTATTCCACTATCTGAGAAATATCTGGAGACAATAGTAGAGATATTACTAGTGTCTTCCTTAAACAAATAATTTACAAAGAAAACAATAGTGATTGTATTTATCCTCAAACGAAATTCAGCTTGTATATATACTGAAATGAGAAATTAGAATTAATATTGCATGTCAAATTAATCTTGTAATTTAGCTTCTATGAACAAACAATACAATGACCATCATAGTAATGTTTTCCTGCTTGGTTTTGATCCACAGTGAGAACAATATTCAAGAGGATCTTTTTGATCAGATCTTAATTGGAAAGCTAGAATTTCCTTCTCCGTATTGGGATAACATCACTGATTCTGCTAAGGTACCAAGATGCATTGAAAGTGTCAGAGTTGAAAGTATGTAAACAATTCTGATAAAGCCAATTTGACCTATTCCTACCATAATTAAAATCCTTTCCTTGCTTAGGATCTGTAAAACTCAAGCTTTTGCGTAGGAATATACAGTCTAACCCTATAATTATATGTTATCCTGATTTTTTTGTTCTGAGTGACCTACAGAGTATATTGTTCTCATTAGTCCCATTGGGGATATTTTGAACATTATTTATGTATTCATTCTTTTGTTTGATTTATATTGCTACACTTTGCACAGACATGACTTTGGGATATATGGGTTTAAAGTTGAAACCACAGCATTCAATCCGGGCATCAGGGATGAAACAATAACCACACTCCCAAAAACAATATTCACATTCACAAAAACAAAATACCAACAACAGCAAACCTCATCTCCTGACTTAAACGCCTAGGGATGATCTGTTCCAAAGCCAAAATTGTCCTGTCTTTTCAGTTAGAAGCCTCTAACAACCATGTACTAAAACCCCAATTAGGGTCCATCTGGTGCTAAAGGAGAACTGTTCAGATGCTGATTGGCTTTGAATATGGCGTGTACTGTCTACCCACTCCCAAAATAGAGACCCTCAATCAAGAGTCTACAAATAACTAATAAAATTGAGTCAGTCATATTAACATAGCTTCCCTATAGATAAATTGAAGACGCATAATAAATTACAACCAGTTTGCTTCTGTTTTGATTAGGTTAGAACTGCTTATTTTCTAAAATTTGTATAATTAACATAAGCTAGCATAAAATTACAGGAAATGTACAAGACAAGACAGATACTACATGATCACAAAATATGGTTGTTAGGTCATGCTGGTGCTGATGTAAACTGTGAATGAGAAATGAACTAAGAAAATATAAAATAGCTGCCAATTTCTAACATTCATGTACATTAGTTGCATTTATAAATACTTTGCAGACATTTTACTGTTCTTAGCAATGAATTAATGTAACACTTTTACAATAACCTTAATTTTTGTAAGAATATTTTTTTAAACAAATAATTATTCACATGCAATTGATTGTTCTTACAATTTATGGGGGGGAAAGAATTTGTTCCCTGAAAAAGAATCTTTTTTTATGTTATGAACAGTTGTGCAATCTAAAAAGTATAAGAATTATTAATAAAGTACACTCACAGTTTACATCAGCACCAGCATGACCTAACAACTATATTTTGTGGTCATGTAGTATCTGTCTTGTATCTTTCCTATAATTTTATGCTAGCTTATGTTAATTATACAAATTTTAGAAAATAAGCAGTTCTAACCTAATCAAAACAGAAGTGAACTGGATGTAATTTATTATGTGTCCTCAATTTATCTATAGCAGGCATGTCAAACTACCGGCCCGTGGGCTGGATGCATCATGCCGAAACCATGCCCACCTCATTGCCGGCAATGGGGAAAAAGTCCCGATACGTTGCATGATGTCACATGATGTCACGAGTTTGACATGCCTGATCTATAGAGTAGCTATGTTAATGTGACTGACTCAATTTTATTAGTTGTTTGTAGACTCTTGATTGAGCTATCTGTTTTCTACCTCTTTGCAAAAAGTTGCAGATATAAATAAATGGGTTTGTATGTTTATGTGTAACCTCTTGCTTATCACTAAAAATTAGAAAGATTCATGAGAAAGTGAGATTTGGAAGAGAATTACAGAACCTTGGAAAGAAAAACATTGCTTTAATTACCGTATATGCCGTCGTATAAGACTTCCGGAAGCGCTAAACTCGGCGCCAAAGGCAGGGGTCGTTTTATACGCCGAGTCGTCTTATACACCGGAAATACTGGTAGTTTCCGGCGTATAAGACGACGTTCTAGGAATGCGGCTCGGCGATAAAGACGGGGGTCGTCTTATATGCTGGGTCGCCTAATACGCCGGCATATACGGTATAAATCTGGATTAGTGAAACAACATAGGATAATTTCATGTGAGACAATAAATATTTATTGTCATGTGGCATTATACATACCCCCAGAAGTCATTTCACAAGTAAGTAAAAGCCATGAAAATCTGCATTGTGAATATGTGCGAATTATTTCAAAATAGCTGAACTCTTCCAAAGTTCATGTTGACAGATGGAATGATTCTTCCCAAATACTTCAGGGATGTTAGGCTGCATCCACAAACCAACATAGCCTTTCATCAGCAACTCAGTAGACAACACTATTAATGATTTTAAACAATTGGAACCCCTAATAGCAGGCATGTCAAACTCGCAACGTCACATGACGTCGCACAACATATCGGGACTTTTTCCCCATTGCCGGCAATGGGGTGGGCGCAGTTTCGGCATGACGCATCCGGCCCGTGGGCCAGCAGTTTGACATGCCTGTCTAATAGCAATAGCATTTAGGCTTCTGTACTACTTCACAGTGCTTTACAACCCCCTCTAAGCGGTTTAGAGAAACAGCATATTGCTCCCAACAATCTGGGTCCTCAGTTTACTGACCTCGGAAGGATGGAAGGCTGAGTCACCCTTGAGCCGGTGAAAGTCGAACTGCCGAACTGCTGGCAGCCGGCAGTCAGCAGAAGTAGCCTGCAATATCACTGCACTCCCATGGCTCTGATAGGACTGCTATGGTCTGAGAGAATCATAATTGTTGAATAACTTTCAAAATAATACACTAATACACCCCCTGAGGCATATGTCATCTTGTCAAATCCAAATTTGCTTACAATGGGTATAATGGCACAGATGCCCTTGCTAGAAAAAGACATTTCTTGCCCAAGCCTGTCACTGCATTCCAGGAACAATAACAGGTGCAAATCCCATTGTGAGCCTCATTTTTAAAATCAGATTAAGATGGCAAGCCTTATTAATTAATCTGACAGAAATACTACTAATCCTACTGGGACAGTCTGCTAGGTGTACACCTAAAGGATTTTATGTATACTAAAGTAAGTGAGAATTGGAATATACTGTAATAGTAATGTAGTGATGTTTAAGGATTTATAGGCTTTCAGCACAGTCTTCATGCTGTATATTACCACTAGAAAGGAACTAATTGAGAAAATATGCATAACTTTTCTTTTCTGAAAATAAAGTGAATGATGAAGTTTTCTGTTTCAAAATCACTACACAGATACTTTAAATAACACCAAGAGTATTTGTTGACCATTTTTTCCTGCTGGATAGGTATACAGACACTTTTCCATTTATAGTCAATATTAGCCTAAATTTAAGCACCAGCAGATAGATTCGTAAATAAATCTATTACTCATACTCATACAAACATACAATAGCTGAATTTTCCCCTTTTTCTTTCCTAAAATAAAATGAAACAGTTGCTCTAAGTTTTTAATTAAACACAAAAATAAATGTTCATTTCCTATTTGATGACTCCTATCATACCTTCACTGAGACATCTATAATTGGTTTATCATACCCAATTCCTTTAAACTGTGTTCATAGGATTGATAGCCTTCATATGGATAATCTAAAGAAAAGAAGAAATAGGGGAGACATGATAGCAGTATTCCAGTATCTGAGGGGCTGCCACAAGGCAGAAGGGGTCAGGTTGTTCACCAGAGCACCAGAGTGCAGGACAAGAAACAATGGTTGGAAACTGATCAAAGAGAGAAGCAACCTGGAATTAAGGAGAAACTTCCTGACAGTAAGGACAATCAACCAGTGGAACAGCTTACCTCCATCACTGGAGATTTTTAAGAAAAGACTAGACAATCACCTGTCTGAAATGGTGTAGGTTCTCCTGCTTGAGTAGGTGGCTGGACTAGAAGACCTCCAGTGTCCCTTCGAGCTCTATTCTATTCATATAAACTTACTTCACTTGTCACTGTCATTTTGGGACTGTGGTATCCAGAACTGGAGCCATATTTCAAAGTAGAGTCTGTCCAAGGAGGAATAAAAAAAATCCTTCCTACAATCTGCCATCCTATTTCTTTTTAATAGCTGCAGCACATTGGTGGCTCTGTTTAACTGATAATTGATAAGGGCACCCAAATCCTTTTTACATTGGAGAGAGAAAATCCTATCTCCCCAGTCCTTGTACCATGCCTATTATTTTTCCTATCCAGATTCAGAACTTTACATTTCAGTCCGCTGCTCAAAACTATCTAGATGTGCTGTCTCTCCTCTTCAGAACTAGCTGTATCTCCAGCTTTCTGCCATCTTTCCAGCTTTCTGCCATTGGCAGACTTAATAAGCATCTCCTCAGTCCTGTCATCCAGGTCATTGATAAAAAAAATAATTGAAAAATACAGAGTCCAAAAAGGAGCCCTGTGGTACTGGACTCAATATTTCCACACAAACTGGAGCTAAGCCATTAGCAAGCACCCATTCACTGCACTAATGTATCGTGTTTTGAGCTCATATAGCAGTATTATTATTCCATATTTTATAATTTCATTAAGGATAGGTTCATGATAAATTGTATTGAAAGTTGTGCTGAAGTCCAGGTACATAATGTGCCTGGCTGACTCCCGTTATATCAAGCCATGTTGGTTTCTGTTAACTAGCTTATGCAAATGTTCATAACAAGCTTATGCTAATGTTCATAACAAGCTTATGCTATTCAATAATCTTTAAAGAATCTTGCCCAATAGGAATGTAAAGCTGACAACTCTATATTTCATGGATCCTCCTTTTTTTCCTCTCTAAAATGACATTTACTCTTTCCCTTTAGAACAGATTATAGTCTTGCAGTGTTTCAGTGATGCCTGTCAGATTTTAGTTTTGGTCCAAACTTGGCTCTCTGGTTTTCCATTATTTCTCATACTCTGTACATTGGTAAAACATGTAGAAACATATAAGAATTTGTGTGGCATCACCTATGGTGTTGAGCCTTCCTGCAAAACTCTTTGCATTATCATCCTAGCTTCTCGTTTCTCCCTTTGTTTACTGCTGTATTAGCCCAAGTCCTGGGCAGTTTATTCAGCTTTGGGAGTTTGTTATTCCTTTGTTTAATACAAAATGCATTCTAATGAATCTTTTCTTCATCTTTTTGTTGTTTCTCAGGAATTAATTAGTCTTATGTTACAAGTAAATGTGGAAGAACGATATACAGCTGCTCAGATATTAAACCATCCCTGGGTATCAGTGAGTAAAATACTTTATTATATTATGCATTTAAACAATTTAAAAGCTCAACTAATAACAAACACATATCACTTGGAATGGATTAAGTTATGCCTCTATAGCCCGGGTGTCAAACTCGTCACGTGAAGTGTTGTGATGTATTGCGCCTTTTTTTGCATTGCCGGAACTGGGATGGGTGCGGCTTCCGTATGATGCAACTGGCCTGCGGGCCATCAGTTTGACATCTCTGCTCTATAGCAACATACAGCTACTCTTCATTTAGCTTACTTGCCACCATTTGCAAATATAATGGTAATAAATATTTATAAAATCATTTTCTGACCAATATATGCATTTAGAGGCAAAGGTGATGCACCCATAATAAAAACCTTCAATGCAAAACTCTTTAAGGTCTGGTCAGTTTCAGGTAGCTGTGCAGCCGGCCAGAGGATTCTAATATACTAATTTAGGTCACAGAGCTGAGCTTGTTAACCTGTAGTTAGCTCTTTTTAGGAGCCTGCTGTTTTGCAGGAAAAAAATCACTTCAGGAAGAGATTGTTTAAGCAATCTCTCTGCCCTGTGAAGGTGAGGCATAGGACACTGTAGGAAAGAACTTTACCTGAATGAGATGGCAGCAACTAGTAATCTTCGCAGGATTTCTCTCTCTGTCCCTTTCTCTCTCTTTCATGTATTCACCTAGCAACCATTTCTCTTAATAACAAAGTCATTGGATCAGAATGTACTTATTTACACTGATCCGTCTATTTTTTTAATGGTTCAACAACCCTTCCCTCTTTTACATTTAATGCCTTTGCTAATTATAGAAGAGGTAGACCTGTTTGGGAGCATTTCTTTAAATAACTGAAAAAATCATTGCGCTTGGAAGTGTGAAAGAATTTTAATGGCAAATATAAGCTTTTAGCTCAAAAGAAACGGATGAGGAGCTCAGTAGGTGATCAGTAGTATTCTTCTGAAGATGACTAGATGAAAAGAACATGGCTAGATGAAAAGAAAAAGAGAGAGATTCAGATAAAGGTCTCCAAAATAGATCCCTTTTTTGTGTGTGCCGAGGGCCTGTTCATATATCATGGATCTTCATCTGGGTGTTGTCTCTGCTAATTTTTGTATCATTCCAATGCTTCTTTGTTGAATAACGGTGTTCTTTTCTTTAAAAAGGATGATGCCTCTCAAGAAAATAATATGCAAGCTGAAGTGATAGGTAAATTAAAGCAGCACTTTAACAACACACTTCCCAAACAGAATAACCAAAATGCTGGAGTGTCTATTATCATGGTAAGCAAGTGCATCATTTCTACCAATTATTTTACTAATCTGATATTTCCAACTCTTTCCAGAAGAGATACAGTTTTAAACTTATTTTTCATTACTAAGTAATAATGCATATTTTATGGCTGTGTCAATGTCTCTTTGTGGAATGGATGCATTTTTAAGAAAATTTAAACATTTAACAAAACTGTTCTGTTTAAAAATTGCGCAATTAAGCCAAAGTGAGCAGTGCTACTCAAAGCACATGTTTTGCCATAATTCAGGCTAATCAGCTGTCCTTTAATTCTTACATTTGCACTGGAAAAAAATGAATTTTTTTCATTTATCTCATGAAAAATAGCCGCTTGGCAACAAAGTTCTTAAAGATGCTATTTATGTTAGCAGTCAGTTTTTATTTGCACTGAATCATTAAAATGCGGCACCAATTGATAGTTCCAGAACTCACAGACATACTGACCAAATTTAAGTTGAAGAAAACCAGGTTCTGGGGGAGGAGAAAGATTTTTTTTATTTTTTATCACTTCTTGTTTAATTTTTCCTAACATGTACCAGCTTTAAAAGTAATGTTTTATTTTAGGATGAAATAGACTAATTTGAGGAGCAAAAAAAATATAATACAGGCTGACTGTTTTGCTTGCATTTCATTTGACAGTTTGACTTGACAGTCTGAGAGACTTCAAAACTCAATGTTTTGTATTTTTGAGACTTTGGATAATCCTGAAGTGAACCCTGGTATAAAATCCATTATTAAATAGTTATTTTAAAATGCTAACTCACAGCTGCTTGCAAGTTTGCACATTCTTTAAGCTTGTTTCTAGTCATAAATATAATTCAGCTTCTGGCTTCTTTTTGATGTGAAGTTCTGGTTGTTTTGTTTTTTTCAAAATTTCTAGCCTTCTGGCTTTGCTTCTAGGCAATGAAGCACACTTGTAATTTTAACTTCCATTTATCCTTCCTTAATTTCTCCCTGCTGGTAAAGGCTATTATCCCAGGAATTAAATTATAGTATGTTTTAAATCAAAGAACACTAAGCAATTTGAGACTTAGAAGAATCTGAATATAGGTAGTCCTTGACTTACGATCATAATTGACCCAGTTGTTAAGCTAGTCACCGGTGCCCAATTTTATCACCTTTGTTGTGGTTAAGACAATGCCATGATTGTTAAGTGAATCCATTTTCTGCATGAGGTTCTTTTGCTGGAAACTGGAAGTAAATGCTGGTTTCCAGCAAAAAATGTTGTAAATCATAATCATGTGGTTGAGTGATGCTGCAAATGGTCACAATTTCAGGCCAATTGCCAAACACCCCAAATGTGATCATGTGACCATGGGGAGGGGCAACAATTTTAAATCTGGTTCATAAGTAGCCCTGGGGAAATTTTTTGTTCAGCAAAAAAATTGTGCTCAAAAACAGTTATTTAATAGAAGTAGGAAAGAAAGACATTTTTAGAAATGGCTTGCAATTTTCTTTTAGTTCTTATAAAGGTCATATAAGGAAGGTTTCAGTGCTGCTTTTTGAATATTGAAATGATTTATTTACATTTATAAATGTTGCAATGCTATTGGTTCTGCTTCCAGTAAGTCTAGTGTCTGTCCGTTGCTTCCTTCTTTTGCTTCTTCTCCCAATGCCTGCGCTGCTTTCCTCTGACTAGGTCCAAGGCAATGGTATGTACTAATTACAGTGCTTCTTTGCCACAATTAAAAAAAGATTCTTAGTTTGAAAGAAAAGGAGAAGTAACCTTGTAACAGTCTTGGACAGAAAAGCTTGTCAAGTTATGCAGTACAATCATGCAACAAGCTTTCATTGCATTGATATATTTGCACCATTCAACCATTTCAATATCGCTGCATGATGTTTTATATTTTTACAGATTTGAAAAGCAAAAAAAACCCCAACCCTTGGGCTTTCCACTTTTTTTCTTCCTTCTTTTTTTTCTTCCTCCTCCTCCTCCTCTTCCTCCTTTTGCAAAATAGGACAGATATAATTCTGAAATTGCTTGAAAGCATTTCCTTGGCTAATTTCTGATAATCAGCTTCTATATATTATCATGGATTTATATTTCTGTAATCATATTCCTAAAGCAGCCAGCAACTGACCACAAGCTATGTCTATATGGTCAAAACAATATTCCCAATCATTGGCTATAATAACTATTTTGCACAACATCCTCGGTGCCAATTTTAAGAAAAAAAGTTAATTTTTATTTTTAGACATTATTTATGAGTAAACTCACAAAATATTTTATTTTTTATATTTTTTAAATCTGGAAATTAGTGAGAACCTTGTGGGTGCTGCATTGCTTAGCTTGGTGTATATTACCTGAGCAGTATTTGGATTTGTAATATTTTCCCACATCGTGGTTCTGGATCTGCTCATACAAAACGTATATCAAGAAAAAAAATTCTAAATACTTAATTATGACAGCCAAATGCTCTTGATCTATCTGAAATAAAGCCTAAAATCTTACATCTGCTATGAAAGTTATTATTACTAGTGAATCATTATGAAGTAAAATTTCTCCTTCAGTTAATTTTTTGTAAAAGCTTAGTTCAGTTTGTTGCCATGTGCTAGCTTGAGTCACGGCTTACTTAATGTTAAACAAATAAATTCATATTAGGTATTCATGACTCTAATTATAAAACTAATTACAGTTCATTGTTAGATTTTTAATTTTCAAAAATATCAAGCACAATTGAGAAATCAGAGTAGTAATATGAACAAGTTATATAATTTGAAGAACCTATAATGGGTTGTTTAAATTTTATAATAGAAGAATCATATTTTATCTTTCAGTTCTGCATAATCGAGTAGGGAGAGACATATTTTTCTATATATTGATTTTTGCTTCTTCCAAAAAGCTTTCATTACTTCCGTACTGGATGCTACCTATTATCTTCTTTATCATCACTTGCGATTCAACATTTCCCCATTTGCAACAAAGATTCTATCAAAGTACACAAATTCATACATTTTCACCATTCATTTATGTCATAATTGTTCGGTCCATTTTTTCCTTTTCAAATACAATTTATGTTGGACTTTGGAATATTGATTTTGGCTCCATACTCCATGTGACATTATTATGGCTTATGTAACATTTCCTGTAAACCATTCAGTTTTTGGCTAACAAAAATGGGACCATTTTCATAACCAGTGCGTGCACATTACATTCCCAACCAACAAATCTCAATAGTACCATCATAACCCTGGTGGCATAGTGGTTAGAATGCAATACTGCAGGCTAACTCTGCCCACAGCCTGGAGTTTGACCCTGACTAGCTCAAGGTTGACTCAGCCCTCCTTCCTTTCTAGATTGGTAAAATGAGGATTGTTGGAAGCAATATGCTGAGATTGTAAACTGTTCAGAGAGGGCTGTAAAGCACTTGGAGCGGTGTATAAGTCTAAATGCAATTGCTATTGCTATAATTTGTCTGTTAAAATACTGAGCCATTCTGTAAGTGTACCATTTATTCTCATCCATGCTTTATTCCATCACATCCCACATTCAGCAACAAACCTCAACAGTACTTGCTTAAAACATTCCATAATCCAAGTCTATTCACTTTTATTGTACAGTTGCCTGAAATCAACCATTGTACAATATACTTTCTTTTTTCTTACATCCATACATTCATAATGATTTTCTGAAGGACAAAATACCTGGTCTACACATACTGTGTCTAGTAGAAAGATGCACTGCAATCACCCATCGACAGATTAAATTTCACCCTTTCAATCAGAATTTTTCCCAAAATCTTAAGAAGCTCACTGAACTAAATACTATGTAAATTTTCCATTACTGTCCTTGGTGCTGTCTAAGCTTGTTTGCTTGTAGACATTTCATTACCAACTATATAACTTTATCATCTTTTCATCATCATTATCATCCCTTTCCCTTTATGTCGGGAAACACTAACCACATTCTTCCAACCATCTGGCATATGTATGTTACAAGATTCATACAACCTTTTCCCGAACAGATAAATATTCATATTTTAACATTTATCCAGTCATAATGTCCACACCTGCAACCTTATCATTTTTATTCACTTATAAAATAACTTCCTTTGCTTGGAAAGAATTCAAACTATTTATAGCATACTTCCGAAGGCTCCCTGTTTAATCCTTTTCACTATTTCCAAAGTATTTTTTCTTTCTTTTGAAATTGTTCAACTTTTTACCTATTATACTCTGATCACAATCTTTTATTTTTTTTTCTATATATGTACACATTATATGACACATAATCATTATATGACAGTGAATTTTATTTTTTCAGCAATTCTCTTAAATGCATTTGCTTTTTATCCTTTTGCATCCTCTTGCATGTCATTATTCCACCAAGTAACTTTTTTCACATTCCCATTGCCTTACTGGCTGCTTTTCAGTGGTAATCCTAATTCTTGTTGCACTGTTGAAAGTAATATCCATGTCCTCTGCCCCATTTCAGTTCTCGATTCATTCTGTGGAAATTCACACAGCTTGTGCCCATGAAAGTGGCAAATAATGGTCTGTTCCATATCCTGAATTTCTCATATATGGTATATCCTTCTTTGAGTCTCAGTTTCTTCATAATTATATTAATCATGCTTTTGACTATATATTTATTCCTCTGCCACATTGATAGATATACAATTAAATTATGTCTTTGAAACAAACAAACCATTTAATAAGCATGTACTTTAAGTCTCAATTCTCATTCATTTTTGGATATCCAAATAGCCAAATCACTTTTTATTTTATATTCATCTGTCCGTTCATATCCCCAAAGAGGGTTGTTTTAGTTCCACAAATGCATAACTCACATTTTTTTTTCATTTATTCATTTTATGGATAAATTTTCCATTTAGCCAGTCTTACATTCTAAGTGATAGTGTTATAAATACCTGTCTCTTTAGGTCCACCTCGACATACAGTGACTACATGGCCCTGGCCATGCTTTTTTGGGAGATTTGTTCATTTATTTATTTATTCAATTTCTGAAACTACCCAACTCAATCAAGTGACTCTATGTGGCTTATAAGTCTAAAATTATGAAACAATTAAAATATTTTTTAAAAATGTAATAACTTAAAAAAACATCCACAAAATAAATAAGTATAAACAGTGGGTGTGATAGTTAACTAACTAACATCAAGGGCAAGTAACAGGACTCTTCACACAATCCAAGCCCCAGGCCCAGATACATAGCCAAATTTTTAAAGCTTTGTGAAAAACCAACAGGGTTTGGGCTATTCTAATCTCAGAGAAAAATATTCCCTAAGGAAGGGGCTGCAGCAGGAAAAAAATTATGTCTTCTAATTTCCTCCAATCAACATTCTTTGGCTGATGGGTTCTGCAGCATGCTCAATCTGGGCATGCAGTTCTTCTTACTAAGGCTGTGTGTGTGAGAAACCACTTTCCAAACACCTCACACTTTTGAAAAAGATCTTAGAAGTTACTTTTCCTTTTCTTCAGACTGTGCATGTATCATTTTTAAAAATACTATTATATGTACATATAATACTTGTCAGTGATGTGATTTATCTTTTTCTTAAAAATTATATTTTAGAACACAGCTCTAGATAAAGAAAATCAGATATTTTGCAACAAGCGCTGTCAAATCCCAGGTCAAGCTGATGTGAAGTAAATCACCAAGATAAATCCTGCTCCTCAGCCTTCTACAACTAATTACAAGTTGTCTTCTCTTGCTGCTTCTCAGCTACTCAGACTTTCTTCCTACCTTGAATCAGTATGTCATGACACTGCAGGATTAATTTAAGAGAAGTTCTAATGAAATCCACAGCTAGGTCAGCTACTGTTCTCTTACCCTTGCTACTGTATTTTTTTCATTATGTCTAAAAGGGATGCAGGTTGTATGTACAGTAGATTTTAATACTCTACCTATTACATTTGGGAATTCTTATGTTTTTAAATGAATTTGTGTTCACTATAATTTCAAATATACAAATGAATTTATCTTCTCATACTTGGATATACTTTAAATAGGTGTAACTATTAAGGAGCCTCATCCAACAAAGCCTAGATTTTTCTAAAAGAAATGCTAGACAAAAAGGTAGTGGAACTCATTTCTTTAATTTAAAAATGCAGATCTAAAATGGTCCTGGAGAGAAGCAAGATTATTCCCAGTGGCAATTTGTACTATATTGAAAGTCAAGTTGTGGAGGTTTCAATAATGGTGTGAATGGATAGCACACTTATTTTTGACATAAAATTTTTTGATTAAGTAGCATCAAGTTGGTGTTGACTCTAAGTGATCACATAGATAAGAAACATAAATTTAAACTTTGTGGAATTTAATATAGAATAACTCAATCATTGACAATCATTTTGCAACCAACCCCATTTATGAATGAGTATGAGTGTTTTGAAGATTGCAATTAGTAAAGATTTTGCAGGTTGTTTCCTGCTTCTCTTTTCCTGTCATGAATGACCAGGGTTTTTTTTTTCTTGGAACAGAAAGCTTGCTGCATGGTGCATTATCTAAAAAAAAGAGCAGTATATTTATAGCAAGCTAGTGCAGTGTTTCCCAAACTTGACAATTTTAAGGCATGTGGACTTCAACTCCCAGAATTCCACAGCCAGCGTGGAATTGAAGTCCTCATGCCTTAAAATTGTCAAGTTTGGGAAACACTGAGCTAGTGTAATAAATGAACTACTAGTCACCAACACCAAATGCTGCCAGCATTGTATTTTTTTAATTAGCCCGCTCTTAAAGAAAGTCATCAAATGTTTGGGGAACTATAATGCTAAATGTGCAGTGAAGGGTAGATGGAGTTGTATATTAATGCTTGTTTCAATATTGTATGTTCTATGCTTGTTTTCTTTTTTCTTTCTAACAACTTTAAATCATTTTCTATTAGCTCTTTACATTAGAACTAAGAACTGCAATAAACATTTTTCTTCAAAAGAGTAAGTAGTAATTTTTTTTGGGGGGAGAACTTATAAAGCAAGTCCAGGATTTGTAATTACCTCGTTTCCTTCCATTCTGGGTACACATTATGTTCTCAAATTTGATAACATAATTTTATTTAATAGGATCAGGCTGATTTTTCTTTTTATGTTTCAGGTGTGTATTATTACAATAGAAAACTTTCTACTGAGTATAGGTATACAATTGTTGTGTCATTCAGTTATTTCCAGACATTATTTTGTTTTACACTTAAGACTGTCTTCACCTTAGTATTTGCTTATGTTTAAATCAGAATAACAGCTAAGAGATTTTATTTATTTTAGGTATGATAGCATACTTAGTATAGTCTTAATTTTGCTGTGGGCACTTTTAGTGTGAATTAAAGATATTAATCCCTTTCCCTGACATAACTCTTGTATTAAAATTGGCCCGCAAAGTTACCAGGGAGTAGCACACATTAACCAAGTCTAATGTGAAAATAGTTGTTAAGCATAATCTTAAACTATCTGGAAATTTCTTTCTGCAGTATTTCAGGTGTTCTGTTTGCTTCTATAAATATTATGCATACTTTTCTAAAACTTTCTCTAAAGATTTATGCAGAGCTACACAAAAGTTATTAAAAGAAAAAAATCAATCCAAACAATATTTTTCAAATATTTCATGTCCAAATATTTAAATATTACATTTTAAAAGAAACAATTTTTGCATCTCCCTGAGTCCCACATGAAATTCCCCTCTAAGCTTCCAAGTTTGAAGTATTAGTCGTATAATGATTTGTTCATAAGTCACCTGTTTTGCTGAAGCTATATTTCAGCAAGTATAATGGATCCTAAATTACTTTCCCAAATTATGCTTTCTGAAATTTCCATGCTATCCCCTTCCTTTTCTTCTCCTCCTCCCTACTTATTTTACCCAGTTAGATTATTTATCAGTTCAGACCAGTATTGTTTCTGCTTATTAATACTGCCTCCTGTTCTTATTTTGTAGTAAAGAAAAAAGAACTACCTCTTTTATATTCTTGATTTCAATAATCCCTATGAAGTCAGTATTCTCAACATTATTGATTTCAGACTGTGGGAAATAGGACACAATTTCAGTGTTGAATTGTGGCAATGTTCCCACTAACCCTGCCTACTATATTGTCAAAATCAACTTCAGTCTTCAGTCTAATCAATTCAGACTGCAATCCTGAAATTTCAGACTTAAGTACTCAGTTTTCAGTCAACATAAACAAAATCAGGAATATATTGTGCCTGTGCTTCAGGAGCTTAGTTTTGAATAACTTTGAGATTAATCAGTCAACTGTACACAGTGTAACCTAGGTAGAAAGAATGGCACTATATTAGCATAATTTAATGCTTATGATTTCTAGCTTTTTATTTTTTTTCTAGCATAATACTCAACATGTAGTGACAAATTTAATTTCTTTTTCTCCATCTTAGGGGTTCCAATTGTTTAAAATTGGGTGGTCCATATCCAGTATACTTTGAAGTCAGTGTTCAAATAATTGTACCCTTTCCCCATTCTACTAGGATGATAAATGTTTATGTTCTAATTGCTTTATATAAAAAGGTTTTTTTTTAAAAAAAAAAAAACACCCTTTCATCAGCTCACTGGCCATGTGGTCAAATATTAATGATAGAATGTTCCTGATGAAAAACCATCCAGTACCTCATATGTTGGCTATGCTTTTCTGATATAACTAAAATGAAAAACATTCTTGGGTTTGTAGTCTTTCTTTGTATGAATATATTTTGGCATCCGAAAGATTACAGTGGCACAAGAAATTACCCAATAAAACTCTCCTGTCAAATCAAAACAAAAGCAAAGCAAGGACACATCTGTTCTAAGCACAAGGAAAACCAAAGAACAGACATATCACATCAAGCCCTCCATGAAACACATATAGCATACGTCATTCCTTAGGAGAGGTCTTTCATTAGCAGCTGTAGCTAGACAGTTGACTGGACCTTTAGTAGAATGCATAGAAGAATAGAGGCTTGAATCTTCTTCTTGTCCTAATCAAATCTAAACAGTGCCTTGGTTTTACACAGAGCACAAAAAGAAATGAACAACAATGTAAAGTTGGACATGTGACTGCAGATGTTTGAATTCAAAATGAGAAGGAAGGAAGAGTTCAGGAGCAAAGGTTACTTTTTGCTCCGGATTTTGGGGATTAATTTTTAGATGTTTCCTGTATCATTGGAAGACAGTCTTTAAAAAAAAATAACATTGTAATTCAACTGTGCTCAGGGTTTTTAAACTATCATGTATCTTAACAATATAAGCACAGCCGGTCTTCTGGTTTGGTCAACTATTATCTGAGTATATTCAATAAAGCTTTTGTTCGACTTGGAAGAGGAGAGTATGACTATACTTGCAAAGTTCAAGGCCACAACCATCATCTATTACATATATAGAAGCTAAATTTGTAGATGGTGTTAGGTCTGTGCTAAAAGAAATGTAGCAATAAATACACATTTGGCATTTGCTGTGTTCTCTGAAAATGTTTGATACATGCAGCAGTAACTATAACCAAAATTTCCTATTAAAAAGACAAGATTTACAATCATTTTGTTTTCAGAGTTCTGCATTGTTTCTTATGTTCCTGTTGTAATAAATGAAGCATTAAAATACAAATGCCTTTTTTATTTAATATCTTGTTTCAAACTGAGTTTTCTCCTTTCTGATGCTCATATAAAGAAGGGCTATTTGAATATAGGAAAAAACATTCAAATTGCTTCAAATAATTAGTTGAAGAAATTATATACCAACAAAGACAAAGAAATGTAAATTTCAAATCTTAAACCACAACTTATCAAGAAATAATTTTGCATACTAAAAACAATACTTTTAAAAAATATAATCACAGAATTCTGCACAGCAATCATATATTTAGTAGAATTTATGCAACACCAAAATAACATTGTTCATAATAAATTTTATTTAGTTTCCCAAGAACTTGAAGACATTGTCAGCATGATTGAATCAGATTTGATGGGAACATGTCTTGATTTTAAGATCAATATAAGGCTTGTGCTATACAGTTCTCACTAGTTGTGTTGTAGAGACACAATAGCTTTTTCCATGTTAGGTGCTAAAGAAAAATTGCAGATCTTCAGCACAAGTGTTTTTTTGGATCCACACATAGTTTCCAAAAGTATAGTAGACAATAGAATACTTCCAAAATCCTCAAAATAGATTTAATTTGGAAGAACAATGGGACTGATGAAAGGATAAGAAAAATATGCTTGATGTATAAATTCTGCTTATGATTATTTCTCTCTTAACCACACAACAAAATAACAAATTAATAATTTAAAAGGTATATTAATCACCTAAATCTAGAATCACGCTTGATTTCACGATCATGTGAAAACAAAATTACATTACATAATTTAAATATTCTTGATTTTCAGAAAAGTCAGTGCTTCAAGTTCGCTATCACTGTAAAAGTACAAGACAAAAGGGAAGGGAGGGATAAGCAGAGTTTAAAATGTCAGTATTATAACTGATCGCTGGTATTATAACCAACTTCCTTTGTTATAACAATTTCCATTGTTAAAATCAAATATTCCATAAGATTATAAAGATTTACATGAGAAACATGTTTCATAATATAGCTAATACAAGAATTATAGCCATCCTATTACAGTCTCCCCCCCCCAGTATAATGATCAAAATAGATTTACTATGACTAAAAAATATAGATTTTCTTTATAAGCTACAGAATCCCCAACAATCATCTTCTGTTTTTCCCCATCCCAAAAAGTCAAGCAAAGTCTACAAAAATAGCAATTAACTTCAAAAAATAGCATCTCCCAGCAAATTTAAGTTACATTCAGATATATTAACTATTTATAAGATCTAGAATAGACAAGATAGTAAAGAGAGATGTGTATGTTTGAAGTCTCCATATGAGAAGAGCTGCACAGCCACATCAGTTTAATTCAAATTTCAGTATCTGGTTTGGTATTCATGATGCCACCTGTTGAAATCATTGTAGAAAACTACTATGCTGCCAGAAGCCATGCCTGTCATTATACACCTGTGAAGGAAAAAATATGGAGAAAAAAATACCACCAAATCATTATGCTGAAGTAACACTTAACTATACATAGTTTTATGAACATTAAGTTAAACCACAGATAAAGCTGTGTTTGAAAATTCAAACAAAAGTTTTGACACAATATTTCTTTTCATTCCATCAGCTACATATTTTTCACTGCAAAAAAAGTTGCCCAAGTTGGGACTTGTTTAAATGTTTAAAACTAGTGTGGTCAGAAATGTCTAATTACATATAGCAAGTCCAGTTGAGAAGCAAAGAATGGGATTAAAAGAGCATAGAATCCTTTTATTCTCAAATCTTTCCACCACCACCCCCCAATCTGGCTATTTTGAAGTAGGAATTTGTTCATTTTCAAAAGAGCCAGTGGATGGGAACAACTATAAAATAAACATGCTGTTTTGAATCATTGATTTATGCATGTTAACAGCTCTATATTTGAAAAAAATCTTATATGAAATATGATTTTCAGTGCTTCAAGTTCTGCTATCAATATAAAAGTATAAGACAAAATGGAAGGGGCAATTAACATCCAGATCTCTCTCACCTTTGGTCATATGAAAGAGTCATGGATCGGATTCCAGCATCACAACCAGGATAGGCAAAAAGCTGCTTGAAGTCATACACTTGCCAAACCATAACAACTCCATTGTCTCCTCCTGTGAGGAGATACTGCCCATCACGGCTCAGCTGGATTGCCTAGAACAAGGAAAGTGACTTTAAATAATGAAACAATTTTCACATTAACTTTCTATTCCTCAATTGCTATTACTATCATCTCATAAGACCAGGTTACTTTTTATGAAGGTGGGATCTATAGAAAAGAGAGGTTAAATAAACACATATTTTAATCATTATTTTTGAATGTAAAACATCAATATAGTGGGAACTAGGGCTACTTGGATTTCAGGGTATTAATTCTCTAATGAGCCATAATGACAGGTTACAAGCATACTTGCTATAAAATGCATTATTCCACTCTTCTGAATTTTATTTATTATACATGTTACCCTAAGAAAAAAGGAATATATGCTTTTTATGGCTACTATTGCTAATGATCTTTTAAACAATAGGTTTGTATATAAGCATGGTTGTTTGAAGACAGATAATGACAATAGCTCCTGTTTTACTTCATTTAAAAGCAAGATTGTGTCATGATTTCTATTTTTTACATACAAGGATTTAGAAATTCATGCAACCTTTCAATCCCAAATCAAAGCATGGTTTGAAAACCAATTCACACAGCTGTAGTCTTTTATTGACTCTTCACTACAAGGCATGCAGCATGACTGTTTTGAGCCTAGGATGAGGTCTTACCAGCCTCATATCCATGTCAATGCAATGAGACAATCACCGAGACAGCATAAGAAATGCTCTTTAGGCATACGTCTGCCATATAGAACATTTTGCCATGGTAACATTTCTAATCCATCTGCTCTTCTATTAATTATCTTTTCAAATGTGCGTATATCCAAATTTCATGTCATAGTTGTTGTTATATTACAAGACTCAAAGTATATGCTAAGAATTTTACAGAGCAACACACACCCACATATTTGCTACACTGAGATGCCTAGCAATAAGCGGAAGAATATTGAGTACATTGCTTGTACATAAATGACTGCAGATGGAAACATGACAAACATAATAAGTTGTTTAAAAAATGCAAGACTCATACTAGCTAAGTATAATTATTTGAAAGATCATTCATTATAACTAAAATCAATACCTTTCTTTTCCTGTTTCACAAATGGCTATCTCCTAAGGCTATTTTTTAAATTGCAGTGAAGACCATGACAAATAATTATTTGCTACAGTTATATAAAATTAAGCTGATGAAAATCTATTAACCCCATGGTTATGGTTCAATTGAGTCTTATACTGGAGGCTTTTTATTTATGGTATATTAAAAGGTAAATTAAAGCCATTAATCTTTAATTCATCTATCAGTGAACTTGGTGTATTTCAGGAATAAAAATAATGGGATTTGGACTTTACTAATAAATGTAGAATTTCACTGACCTATCTAATTGTGAATGGAAACTGAATGGAAAGAATGTACTTAAACATCAGAATTTCACTTTTATAGCATGCCTTCAACATTTAGCTTCAACAATTAGCAAAGTAAAAAATGGTATTTCACAAATGGGATAGCAGAAGGTTTAAATATAAGATTAATTTGTCTTAATATAAAAAGTATTAGGAATTTTATTATTTCAGATACAAGGGACTTCAAAACATAGTTTAAGACATTCTTAATATTGTGTGGCTTCTAGTTCACACTTCATTGAAGAGTCTCAAAATTCAGATTTTTGAAAGACCATTATTTACCCCCCCCCCAAAAAAAAACCCAGACCTGTCAGCCTGACAATATTGGTATAAAGCAGCAGGAGACTGTAAGATACTTGACTTTTCCAAACAGACTCAGGAAAGAAAAATAAATTGGTTCCGTTGGGTGAAATAACACATTGGCCTTGTTTAGGGTAGAATAACTTTAGTTCTTTGGACTGCCTGCCAACTTAGATTTAAGTTACTCATTAAGATATCTAAACACTGTAAAGCAGATCTGCTGTGATATTCTGTTAGCCAAAGTTCTACTGAGAAATGCAATATTTAAAACAAAAACAGGTGGAAAGCTTTGATTATGCTCTGAGTATATCCAGACAGCCTAAAGTTTTTTTGGTAGCATTTCTTGTACTTGTGTACAAAATAGTTAGGAGATTAAATAAAACAACTGGAAATTTCAGCCTTTTCAACATTCTGCAAACCAAGCTTGCATGGATATAAGAAAGTATTCTGAAATTTCAACAAGAAATAATTTTTTTGCTCCGTATACTACATTTTATAATACAAACTGTGAAGCTGCTGGACTCTAGTGCCTTGGGCAAAGACATTTTGAACACAGTTGTTTTAATCTTTCAGTTACCACTTCACTTACAAAATGATAAAATACAGAAGCTCTGGGAAAACACCATGAATTGTTTGAGAGTAAAACTCATCTGGGACTGTTTGGAAAAATAATAGCGTGGGATTGTATATACCACTGGCCTGGATAGATAATTTCCATTGCATAAAAAATGGCCTTGCAAGTGACAACACTGCAGAAATTGTTTTACCAAGCAAAAAATATAAGGATGTTTTATAGATTTACTGATCTAGGTGACAACATTATCACAACAGAAAGCGGCTATCAGCATTTTTACCGTAGGAAACACAAAACAAAATCACTAAGCTGAAGAATTAGGGTAAGATACAAATAAATACTTGAATATGAATGGTGAAGGAAGGTCAAAACCTATTTTTTAAATATAGCTGGTAATGATCTAAGTGCATATAATAAGAACATGCCTATAATAGTCCAACCCTCTTTTTCTTATCTTCCCCAATTTGAACAGGTACAGTTGCAAAATACAACAAATATATTATCTAAATTAAGCAACAATGACTTCTGACAATCAACTAACAATAGGATTCTGTGAGGCAAAGGGTCCACACAAATCACCTCAAAATAAGGGTTCCTGTAGATTTATTCCCAGGAAACTAAGTAACATTGAATGTTAAAGATAGATCTTCCTTCATTATTGATGGCCCAAAATGTTCAGTGTTTCTCACACTTAGGGCATTCAGGCCATCACCATTTTTTTTTTCTGCATGAATCCTCTAGGGGTTTCTCATATTCCACCACAGTTGCAATAGTAGCACTCTAGTCTGATCTCCACTGAAGAAGCTCAACAAATAATAGTTCTAATGTGGATTTGTTCCATGGTGAACAAAAGCAGCAGAAAAGAGCAGTGGGTTACTTTTTCCAATTCCTAAGTATATCTGGAGCTCCAGCTGGTATCAAGCACTTATCTAAGTGCAATCATTCAGGAACCAGATATGTTTCTCATTTGTGTTGCTTTGCCCACACAACTATCATTCCCTATTCACTTTCTCTGTTATTTCTGTTAAATTTTGACTACCCTTGTTAACAACCAGACCAAACTGAATTAATAATACCTTGTACTATAGAGAGAATAAGATTTGTGTGTACATCCCATGTCCAGTATTTTGTGAAACCAGAAGGCTATGTAAGATGAATCCATTCTCTGACACGAATCAAATGAATAAAAATAATAATAAAATGTTCTTTTGAAATGAGGATATAGTTTATGTCTAGATACTGGGCTCTTCCATAGTGATGGGCACTGTATATATAACTATGTCTTCCTGAGCTTTGGGTGCAACACAGTATAACTCTAAAAGTTGCTATGAAATTATAATTTCTAAAAAAGATAGAACATTATTGAATTTGCAAATATAATATCATTCATTCATTCAATTCAATTTAAATTGAACTGAATTGAATTTTCTTTTTGCCTGTAGCCATTTTTTGCAGAGCAGCCCCAATATATTATTCAAGCCAAGTATGGCCCACAATCTAAAAAAAGTGGTGTGCACTATATTGTGCAGTAAAACATTGTTTCTATTTTGAATTATGAACATGCTAAAAATTAACTTCCAAACTAATGTCTGTTACTACTGATGAAGATACTACAGTTATTTCATATGTGATATTAAATAATTTATAAATTATACAAGTATTCAATAATTATCAAATACAATACAGCAGAGTGAGATATATTTAAAAATAAGACTTTCATATAAGATACTCACCCTGATATTATCATCTGTTTCCATAGTGGAGTGGAGTTTTCCATTCACGCTGAATACACAAAAATGACCATTGTCATAGTATATAACACAATGACCCTCCCTTGATGCTTGGATAAGTTTTGCTTTCACACAGTTTTCAGGAGCTTCTAATGTCCTCAGTAGATCACCATTCATAGAATGTATGAGACATGGTCCTTCTGATGAGGGAGGTTAAAAAATACAGCCATTAAATATTCAATATTAACTGGTAAATATACCAAGTTGATTTGGCTTTACTAAAATAAAAATAACTCCAATTTTAATGTTCAGTTCTAATATCTAATAGTTATTAACAGATACTGGTAGATATACAGATGACAAACACATGTTGCTATATAACAGTTTTCAGAATCAGTCATGAATTGCCTTATTAGAGCTTCTGGGAAGCACAAAGTTATGTGGAAGGTAATAGGTTGCTCCTGCAGTGATTGTACCAATTCTTTTTTGTTTAACCAAACCTTTTTGCTCCTACTGCTGTCCTCAAAAGCCATAAAAACCACATAATATTTATATGAAGCAAGCGTGCATGTGTCTGTTTATTTGAATCTATTTATGTGGTTTCCCATCTCACAAATTAAACTGGGTGGCTAACAAAGTTTAAGAAATATAATATATATACACTATATACAAAATACATTTCCCAACCAACACAAAGTAGTTCCTGAAAATGCTATAAACCAACAGCTTGGGCTCAATTACTTTCCCAGTCCCCATGCCTGGGAAAACAAACATTGTCTTCAAAGTTTCTGAAAGGTGAGCAGAATCAGGGCCATCTGTATCTTAGGCAGTACAATGTTACAGAAGGAAGCTAGATCTATGGAAAAGACTGTGGACTTGGGTCTCTCTAGTCAGGGTGTCAAACTGGCGGCCCGTGGGCCAGATGTGTCAACATGCAGGCCACAGCCACCCCGGCTCCAGGAAGGCAAAAAAGTGATACATCACAATAGATTACATGACACGATCGAGTTTGACACCCATGCTCTAGGTCAGTGGTTCTCAACCTTTTTAATGCTGCAACCCCCCAACCGGTCGTAAGTCGAGGACTACTCAACCGGTCGTAAGTCGAGGACTACTCAACTGGTGCAGCACCGTTTGCAGAATGGGACTTTTGGCGGGCTCAGCAGGGCAGAGACAGCCTGGACAATTCCTATGGCTTTTGAAAGCCAATAGAATTAGACTCTATTCAAGAGAGTCTATTCTATTGGCTTTCAAAAGCCAATAGAATAAAAAGGAGTAGCACAGCTAAGGAAAAGGGGGAAAAAATGGCGGACTGCATTGTTTGGCGACCCCCGTGAAATGGTCGTTCGACCCCAAATGGGGTCCCGACCCATAGGTTGAGAACCACTGCTCTAGGTGATAATCTCTTACTGATGGAACTGGACCATGCCCCTTCTGCCCAACTTAATGGGACAAATAAAAACTATTGGCACACAACACAAAACTATGCAAAGGCCTGCTTGACTATAGCTGCCATTTGCTTTCTGAACAAGAGACTTGAGTTCTGGAACACACCCAAATTGCACACATTTCTGTATGCAGTAGTGCAACCCCACCAGAACTAAAGATGAAAATGATCAGAGAAAACAGATTAAAGTCTCTGAAAAGCAGAAACCTTGAGAACTCCATCACCAGAGAGCTCTGCCAGGGAGATTGCTATACAGCATCAATTGCCTTGGCACAAAAGCAATACTCCCATCTGATCCCTGGACACAAATTTAACAAACAGGGTTTCATATCCAGTCCCACTGGGGAGCATTTTGTATATCACTAGAGAGTCCTGTATGACGAGATCCATTCCACCACCCTTGCTCCTGGGTCTTGGCTGATACCACACCTCAAGCTCAGAAGACAACCCTACTTTCAGTAGTCATCCAAGATCTGCCCTTTCATCCATAATGAAATCACAGATGTAGGAACCTGATATTCTAAATGTATAAGCATCTTCATGATTAGATTCATTATTATAAGAAATAAGTATTTCCAAGAAAAGCTTTAAAAAATATAAAATGCACCTTTAGAACCACTTATCACTACACCAAGTTCAGCACAAATTGCTGCACAGGTAATCTCATAATCATGTCCAGTCAAGACTGCCCGAGGAGCAGCAGTTTCACCTGTAAGGAGATCAATAAAACAGAAGTTTCTTAGTAACCTATAATTAATGTATTTTAAAACTTTCATAATTAAGCAAATGTATAATTTAATTCCAAATAACAAAAAGGAAATATTTGAACTGGAATTATTCTGTGCATTTGGTTCTCAGTAGATACCTTGTAAAAATATATATTTTATAGCGCATTCAAAATCCAAAAAAAAGTAATATCACAAGTGCACAAGACCATTTTTTCACCAAAGCAATCCTTCCACATGGCAAACTATAGATGGGAGAGATATAGAAAGAACTCTTTTCAGCACAAGAAAGCAAACAAGAGTGCAAGGAGTTCCATTTGTATATTAAAACAACTATCCATGCAAGATGTAACTCAACTGACTGGGACCATAGCCCAATGGTCAAGCTCAGAATTTTATATTAAATTATCATCCTAAAGCATAGAAGCTGATGCAGCTTCTATCCTACATTGCATTTTAGGAACATTAGGTACTGCTTATGGGATTTTATGGATAAATTGCATCCACTGATCTATTCTCGTCAGCATTTCTTTTAATTTGCATAAATTTACATGATCTGTTCAAAAGGCATTAAAACTGAATCTACAGAAACTTGAATAATGATGCCAGTTAATTTGGCTGGTATTATTTTAATATTCTATTGCTTCAGTAATAGCACTGATATTTTGTGTATTTGCATATATGTTTCATTTCAGTTTCTAGTAATTTCTAGTAACTTCTACAAATTTTATAATAAACATCTTTGCTGTGCATTTTAACACAACCCTTGATTTATATTTCCCAAATGTGCAATACCTAATATGCAAACTGAAATGCAATTTTCTTTCTCCATTTATATCAAATTGTGAGTTGCAGTCCTTCATTTAGTCAAAAGTAGTTAAACTACAATTTCTGGAAAACTGGATATAATATATATGCATTTTTCCATGTACCATTCCAAACATCTAGAGTTGGCTTTGAATATAATAGTACTACTTTCGTGAATTAGGACTTTCAATAGAACTTGTCTGAAGTATATCAGACTCATGTTTACAAAGGATGAGTAGTGCATGTTTATAATAAAAGTTGTAATAATCTATTCATCCAAAGAAATATAAGTTATTCTGGGATTCTCAGACCCATGTGGCATTTGAAAGATTTATGAAGAATATTACATAATAAAATCAAATGTTTAAATGCTAAATATTCAAAGTTAGTCACTCAAATGGCTTTAAAGCTTAACATTAGACACAAGCCAAAAGCAATACAAGTAATATGTTACTAATCACAGCAATATGCTATTAAACTATAGTTATAATAGATTATATATATAAAATATATAGTAATATATATGTCACAGTACATTTGAACTAGCAACTTCATTGTGACAGCAGAATCTTTCACACAAATATGTTCTGAGAGGTATTCAATCTAATATGGTTGTCTTTTAAAATATGTAATGAGTGTAGGTACATATGACTACTGAAATAAATTATGTATGATTTTTAATTAATGAAGTGCTGGATTTGGAGGTGATATATTTAAAAGCTTATGTTATTTTTTTCATTGAAGGGTCCTCCTTCTAATTATAAAACATGAATCTTTAGAAAAGTCAGCCTGCTTCCTTTGATAATAATGTTAGGTACTTAAGTCTTCCGTGCTTCTGATGTTTCCAAATAATGGGCTCAATTCAGAAGTTGGTGGCAAAATAGAAGAGATTTCTACTGCCTCATAAGATTGTCGTGGTTTTCACAAAGCAAAGGGAAAGTTTTACTTTGTAGCTGTTTCAAGGGATGTCATCTCAAACTTCTTTAAACTTTTCAAAGTGGTTTTATGTCTTCTTTGAAATCCTTGGCTAGTGATTTCAAAGAAGTGAGGCTTTGTCCCCTAAACAGGTTTATGATTACTTTAAGGAAGGCTTAAACTTGTGTTAATTTTCAGCCTCCTGAAAATCTACAGGAAGATTAACAAAATGAAATGAAACTTTTTTCTTTGTATATAAAATATAACTGTTTTTCAGTTCTAAAAAGAGTTCTCTAAAAGAGAGTGTAATATTTGCACTGTTATAAAGAAATTACTATTTTTATTTCTTTCTCCCAGGTCTGATTTTGTAATGGAATTTTTTTTAAAAAAAAAAAAATCTGCATTTCTTTGAGAGGTAACTGAGTGAACTCACAGTAATGATTTGTATACTGTATATTGCAACATTTGTTTCAATAAATTCCAGTAGGAATTGCATTCCATTCTTTGTTTTACAAAATAATCAATTATTTTAAAAAAGAACCTTTCCTAAAATGAATAAAATTAGGCTACTTAGAATTTACAGTAAAATAATTATCGGCCACAGCACAAGCCCCCTGGAACATCATTCCTGTGGAGGTTTCATTGGCCTCAATCCCGCCCCCCCTTGTGCATCCATAAACTCTTGAAGATTTGGCTTTGCTTTGCCTGGGGACCAGGTGCATGATGGAAACCATCTCATGTCTACATTCACTGTTACTGACATTTTATGTTCTTTTTCCTGGCTGGTGTATATTTTATGATTTTTATATATTGTTTTTATCTTTTAAAAATATTGTTAGCCATCCACAATCCTATGTTGAGTTGGGCATCCATATAAATATACTAAATAATTAAAAAATTAGGCAAGCAGCTGAGAGCTGAACAAAAACTTCTCGGTCAGTATAGCATTCTAATATTTAATATGAATTATACTGTCAAATTATAATTGTTACACTGCCATCTGGCTGCTGCTTTAGTATGCTTATCTTAAAAGAAAATAGATTAACAAAACTTAAATGCATCACATAAAAACCTGAAGTGATTGTCAGAGTAAAACAAAGTTATTAAATATTTAAGTCTGAACAAAATTCTTCAATCAGGAACAACTATACATGGTTTAGAAATTGTTGCAGGCATGCACACAACAACATGTCAGATTGTTATCAGGAACTTACAGTATTATATTACTGTAATTCTATTGTTTTATTCTAACCCAGTAATTTCATAAAAGTATTCTAGGCTGAATGAACATATTAATAATATAAATAACTATAATATAAAAAATCTATAACTCAGTGCCATACACATGGTATATATTATGCATATTAATTTAGTATATAAATATCACTTTGTAAAAATAAAACATAGCATTGGTTATATATCAACAAACAACTGGAACATAAAGATCTGGATTACATCATGGAGCATTAAAGCATTCTGGTCATTCTTTAGAATTTGATGTGTTTCGTTTCAGTTATAGCCAAGCTTAAACACAGAAGTATTGAAAAACTGTTCTGCATCTAACCTGAAACACAATTACTATTCTAGCACTCTATAAAGTTAATACTCAGTACACATATTTGTGAGCACAGTGGAAGAGGGATGAATAATTAGCACCTATTGCATCTATTGAGATTCTCACTCAAGTGTGGAACATCTAGTAGGCAAACAAGAATTATATGTACAATCAAGATAGGGGGACCCTGTAAGCGTGGTGTTTCAAATTCTTCACAGCCCCTTTACCAGCATCACTGGAAGAAGCATCTGCATTTTCTTTTGTGTGACTGTAAGGATCTAATCAGAGGGATGTATATGTGTTGACTGTAAGTGTTTTTGCTTGTTTTTTTGCTTGATCCTATTGGGAGATAGGCATTGGAGAAGACAGTCTGGATCACATGAATACAAGGGAGGGGGGGGTTGAATGAAGACACTGGCAGCATTCTGAGATGCAGCTTCATTTCCTCTCCCATAGGATCCATTGAGGGATATTTTCTCAATTTGATATCTCCACAGCCCCTAGCTGGTTCCAGGTTGTTTCTGAAACCAATCTTTTTTCTTAATCTACCAGAACTAAATTTGGTTTTATTGTGTTCTGTTTCCAGGGAACAACTCTGCTGAAGACAAACAGATCAATGAACAGACATATGGAATCCCAAGCCTTTTTACATAATTTCTCTACAATATTTCATATGAGTGGAGAATAAACATGAAAGCCAGAAAATTAAAGAAGGCAAAAGCCCTTCTTTTCAAATTGATTCTGAATTAATACTATAGAAGTTTAGATTGTGCTGTCATTCATTTTGTTCATACTGATTTTACAAGATACCAGAAAAAAATATTATGTATGGAAACTAAGCCACATACAGTATATTACAAGCATTCAAGATGATTCAACAACTCTATTATGACAATTGTGATATGTTCTATGCTATGTGCTATATAAAAAAATACCATCAGCTCAGGTTCGAGACCAGAGCGCAACGCAATGGGATGAACTCTCATCCTTGCCCCAGCTCCTGCTGACCTAGCAGTTTGAAAGCATGCGAATGTGAGTAGGTAAATAGGTACCACTTTGGTGGGAAAATAACAGTGCTCTGTGACATCATACTGGCCACATAACCACAGAAATGGATGGCCTTGAAATGGAGATAAACACTACCCCTATGCAATGACTATATGTAGAACCTTACTTTTTTCACAAATGAAATTCAATGGTAAAAAAAGTAAGGTTCTACATTTAGGCAGGTGGTACCTGGCTCAATTGTACTAACTGTGAGAGGGATCTTGAAGTCCTAGTGGCAATCACTTAAATATGAGCCAGCAGTGTGCTGCAACTGGCAAAACAGCCAATGCTGTTTTGCCAGTTGCAGTCCTAGGCTGCATTAACAGAGATAGAATCAAGATCACATGAAGTGTTAATACCACTTTATAATGCTTTTGTAAGAGCACACTTGGAACACTGCATCCAGTTTTGGTCACCATGATGTAAAAAAGATGTTGAGACTCTAGAAAGCGTGCAGAGAAGAGCAACAAAGATGATTAGGGGACTGGAGGCTAAAACATATAAAGAACAGTTGCTGGAATTGGATATATCTAGTATAATGAAGAGAAGGACGAGGGATGACATGATACCAGTGTTCCAATATCTCAGGGATTGCCACAAAGAAAAGGGAGTCAGGTTATTCTTTAAAGCTCCTGAGAGCAGGACAAGAAGCAATAGGTGGAAATTAATCAAGGAGAGAAGCAACCTAAAACTAAGGAGAAATTTCCTGACAGAACAATTAATCAGTAGAATGACTTGCCTCCAAAGGTTGTGGGTGCTCCAATACTGGAAGTTTTAAAGAAGAGATTGGACAACCATTTGTCTGAAATGGTATAGAGCAGGCATGTCAAACTGCCGGCCTGTGGACCAGATGTGTCACAATGAAACCGCGCCCACCCCATTGCTGACAATGGGGAAAAAGTCCCGATGTGTCACGCAATGTCACATGACATCGCAAGTTTGACATGCCTGGTATAGAGTTTCCTGCCTAAGCAGGGGGTTGGACTAGAAGACCTCCAAGGTCCCTTCCAACTCTGTTATTCTGTTATTCTAACTAGCGGAGGGAAATCCATAGGAGAGTCAGCAGCAATCAAGCATATAATTGTTCATATTGTATACATGACATTGAATGTTTCTGTAACTAGTTATAAAGCAAACCCTCAAAATTATTCATGATAGAAAAGTGTAACATGACACAAAAACTATAAATACATCCTGTAATCAGAAACTTTAAACTCCCAGAAAAGAAACTCCATAGCCTGCATGATATATAGCTACTCATCTGAGTAATCCAAAGGCAGTTTGATTAGTCCATTTTAATTGTTGTATGATGAAAACTAAGTATCTAAAATCAAGCTGGCTCTGAAGTGAACTTCATCTTTTCTAATTATACTTAATGAATCCAAGTGACCTTCTGGAAGCAAGTATTTCCCAAGTGAACATATTAACAAAATGACATACAACTGTTAAAACAAAACTGGAAAAATTGATGTTTCTGAAGTGCAGTGGGAAGGATTTAGTTTCAATATTATGAAACAAAATTTTCACACTGGATTACTATGCCAAGGATTGCATTTCAGAGGTTCAAATATATGCCAGCAGATGTCACTCTAAGATGCTTGGTTATAGTTAGCAAAAATGTCTTTAAAAACAGGTCTGGATACTAGTTAAAGGCTTCTGCGAAACAATGACAAAACTGTAATTATTTTCAAGAAAATATTTTTAAAAATTCATCATGATTAATAAAACAACTAGTTTGCATGTTCAAGAGTTCATAAAGGGAATATGACTGGTATTCTATATACCTTTCTAAACATACATGCTGACTAATACTTCAACATTATCAAATGATCAGAGTAATTTGATTTCCTGACAAAGTGAAACATAATTTTCTTGTCTAGAAGTATTATTTTACTTTAAAACAATCTATCAACCCTATCATTTACTTTGTTGTAAATGCCTTGGAATTGCATCCAAGGCATCTATTGGTATTGCTACTATCTTTACTTTTTTATTACAATTGTTGTTCTTCTATTTCCAGGATTATATATTTTGTAATTTTTTTCCAGTTCTTTTCTTCTATTTTCCTGTCTTCAGGCATTGCAAGTCTACTATGCAGACTTTTTTGTCTTTCTTATTAACAATTGTTAAATCTGGAGCGTTATTTGGCAGATGCTTGTCTGTTTGAAGGACTTTAGTTTCTTCATTTTCTATAACTTTGCCTTTTTTGTGGTCTTACCAGTTCTTGCTTGAAGCGCAAGTAGTATTTCTTACAGATATTCCAATGCACCATTGCTGATACATTGTCATGTCATTGTTTGTGCATCATCAGTATTACTATTGTTGTTGTTATTATTATTATTATTTTCAAATCAATTTCTTTTTTTATTTTATTACTATAATGTATAAAAAAGAAAAAACAAACAAAAAAGCCAAAATACAAATACAGTATGAAAGAAAACCAAACAAAAACTTGTTATTACAATTGATATGTAAGAGCAAGTCAGTTTATAACAGCAATATAAACTTGTTACATATCATTACTGATAGTTACTATAATCATATTGCTTGATCTTTTCATTTTGTCTGATTAAAGTCAGAAAGTAAACACATTTCTTCATTTCTAACCACCCAAATAATTTAGTTTCATTCCAAATATGGTAAGTCCACAAAATTTCTTCATAACTTAGTAAGATTTCAGTATTCAATGAAATATCAATTTAACAACTTTAAACCTTTAAAAGAACTTAATCTTCTTATATTTCTCATACATATACTTACATCAATGCACATACTATTTTACCTAAAAAGATTACAATTATATTGAACCAATTTACTCTTTTTATTTCTCTGTTCATAAAAGAGCTCTGCAATCTCAAGGATGTAAAGAGAACCAAATTAATTTACCCAAATATCAGAATACTTTTCTGATATTACAGATGCCTGGATCCATGAAATGTTACATGCATGAAATGGTTTTTATGATTCTGCAAATGTTTGGATTTGGGGGGGAGGGGAATGGGTTGCAATCACAGATTAAGATTGCTCTGGAAATAAGGTTCAGTAGAATAACTTGCAGTAATTACATCTAATGAATAAGAATATGGTGCCTGTAATCTTGGGAAATGTTTCTCACATATTTGACTCCAATGTTGTCCTTGTCTATCAATTCCTCAACTTTAACAGTATTTGATGCAGGATTTGCCATAGATAAAAATCAGAATAAAGATCTCCTTACCATTTGTGTTATCACCAATGCTATTGGTTTTACCATTCCAGTACCATAGCAGCAGTGTTGCATCACGAGACCCGGATAGAATATAACAGTTTCCTCCAATATAAGATTCAGAGCGGCCAAGGCAAGTAACAACATCCCAATGTCCAAACACAACTTGCATTAGTTTTCCTGAAACATACAATTTTTTCATTCATAGTAAGACCACATCTTGTAGGATTCATATTGATGGATGAATTGAGTCCCAGCCTCACTACATAATTAATTTCCAATGTTCTCTAGAGTTGGAAAGAATATTAAAAGGTCCTGGTTGTTCTGGAAGCCAAGACACTGTCTGTCTTCTGAGAAAAGAATATGTTTCCACCATTTAGTTTATTTAGCCAACTCACAATTGTTATATGCCTTGATATTTGTTTAGCATTGTCCACCATTGCACAGGATAATCAATTACTAGAAAAAAGGACCTCACAAATTATTTGCCAGATTTCTACTCCTGATTATTGAAAACAAAGTTTTACATACACGTAATGGCAAAACTGTAAATTTCCTTTATTGTTTCATTCTTCTATCATTCAGATAAGAAATAATTATATTTACAAAGTACCTTGTCATTTAAAATCCATTCATATATTATTCACAATGAGGGGAGCATGGTTTATGGCAGTCCTATAAAGTAGCTGATAATAATTACTGCTGAGACAGATATTACATGATGCTCCTGTGGTATCCTAACAGGTATTCATACATATTCAGCCATGGTATCTGAAGTACCTAGACTCCTTGTTTTTATTTTCTTATTTTTAATGCATAATTAATATGTTATTTATTCAGTGAAGTGTGGGCAAATAGAGAAAGCCAGTCTCTGTAGTCCAGCGGTTCTCAACCTATAGGTCGCGACCCCATTTGGGGTCGATCGACCATTTTTCGGGGGTCGCCAAAGATGGCAATTCACCATTTTTCGCGGCGCCGTGCATGCTTGCTGCGCATGGGGGCGGCGCCGTGCACGCGTGCTGCGCATGGGGCGCGGCGCGCACGTGCGTCGCGCATGGGGGCGTCGCGCATGCACATCGCACATGGGGCGGTGCCGCGCATGCGCAGAACGTTTGTGTGATGGGGTCGCCGTCACACAAACGTTGAGAAGCACTGCTGTAGTCAGTCAATCAAAGAAACAAATATTTCTGAAGTTTGTTTTGAAAATTCTAAAGTGTTGATTTTATATTTGTTAGAAAATATAGAAAATGACTTTTGCTGGGGTCAGATCTCATTAATATTTTGACAATTACAATACCTTTTTTTTAAAAAAAGCACCACTTTTTGCAATATTGACTTTAAAAACCTATCTGATTTTAATATGCACCATTATCAGAGAGCTGATTGCAATTCTGCTATGCTACTTGTTCTCAGAATGCATAGTTTATATTCAATGTATTTTCAGTTACAATGCTCTCACTTGAAATCTGAATAATAAGATTAGTTTACATAAATGCTAAAATATAATTGAAATGTTTGCAACTTGCTATAGACTATTCTTATAATCTTATCCTATATTTTTCCTTCCTTTCACAACTCAGGAACAGGCCAGATAATTAATTAATTCAGCCAAATATTGAATACTCAAAACAAAATGTAGAATGAAATGTATAATGAAAAATTCTTTTGCATTTCTACGAGTGTTCTATTACACATTTTAAATATGCAAGAGTTTAATTTATCTTTTACAGAAATTTATTTCTCAACTATACTGTTTGCTTAGACAAAGGAGGCAACAGTTTTCATGATCCAGAGTGGCAGATGCAGAGGCAGGAATGCCATGCTCTGGATGTGTCAATCAATGGAGCCCAGGAAATACCGGTATGCCTTCTTTGTTGTAGTGTCTGCTATATGGAACAATATTTCCTTCAAGAATCAAACAGGTCTAATTCTATTGGCCTTAAAGACCTTTATTATTTCTTTTACACAATAAATAAATGAATATTTTATTTATTTGTACTGTATTACTGTTGGTTTTAAATGGATGCTGGTTACCCAGAGTCATGTGATAAGATATGCAGCTATATACTGTATGCCTTTTAAATAAAATAAATAAATAAGTATAAAATGACAAGCAACAGAACAAGTTCAGTTTTGAGCTCCAAATAGGCCATGCACTCTATGAATGCAGCTGAATGAATTAAAGTGGTTTCTACTCTAGCCAAATGGATTGCAAAAAGAAGGATGTAGTGGCCAGAACACCAGGACTACATGTTTAAACAATGAACAGATGGAACACATTTGTTTGTTTCTAGATGCTACTAGCCATAGTAATTTGAACTGTTTAAATTCCCAGAACAGATCTGAATCATAGTAAGCATAACAGCACTAGTATGGAACTACAGTTGTATTATGTTTCAAGTTTTATGTACAATAAAATCACTGAAAAAGGCCTTCAGTCAAAGCCATTCCTAGTACTGACAAGATCAATACATCACAATAATAAGATGAAGATATGATGTGAAATGACACATGTATCTTAGAAATCAGTCCTTATAGACTTTTTGTGAAAAAAGAAAAAAAAACTTAAGACTTTTTTCCTGAAAAAAGAAACAAAAATAAACTTATGATTTATAGATTTCATGATTAGAAAGGGAAGAGTATGAAAAGCGGGAAATTTTCATGTAACTGTAGAAAGAGGGGGCAAAATATAAATGAATTTATTACTTCTGTTAGTAGTTAATAATTTTATTGTATTTTTCTTTGTCCTTCTTATGTACATCTATATCTTATCTACATCTTTTTATAGTTTTACATTTGTATTTTTTCTATCTCGTCTCTAACTCAAAATTTGTGTTGTTTTTACTCTATGCAAAAATTACTCTGTGTATGTGTGTGTGTGTGTGAGAGAGAGAGGGGGGGGAGGGAGGGAGGGAGGGAGGGAGGGAGAGAACCAGTGATACAATGAATCAAGTCATGAGTCATACATTGCAACTTAATAGCCTTGTTCTGAAGAAGAAAAGCAGAAGCCAGATGCAAATATTAAAAAGACCAAATGACTGCAGCAATAAGAAAAAAGAATGTGGGACTTCGATGCAGATACCCAAGATATTCAGGAGATGGAAAATATAGGAATGGATCTGTAATTGGGAAAGGTAAAGGGCCAGCATAAACCTATTGTTGAGATACAGTGTGTGGATTCGACAATGGTTGATATGGACAACAATCAAACTTGTGAGTGAATAGCTCCAGAATGTAGGAATTGTATTTATTTATTAAATAAATAAACTATTTGTATAGTATGGTACATTAACTGTACCAATTTATGGACTGGGATAGTCTAAACACTAGTAATGACAAGATATGGATTATCATCTTCTCTCTATAGACCTTTCCTTGAATTTAGCGCAGAAGCTTTGGTTGGTGTAGTTTGGGACAAATTTACTAAGAAGAGAAAAGTGACCACATATTGTTGAAACAAATGAAATAGCTACTGACAAACTGACAAACAAACCTCTAATCAACTTGATGCCAAAATGTTTGTTGAATTAACATATCACTACATGTTCCAACACTAGCAGAGTGAGTCATTTACTTTTTCTAAATGAGTTGGTCTTTTACACAGTAACACCATTCTCTGGAGTATTTTCCTGCTACAATCCATGGGCCATCTACTATTATATCTACTAGGTACCAATGGCAGGATTCCTTTACATGAAGATTATGGAATATCAATATCAATCCTTCTCCCTTTAACTTTGTCTTTTTAAACAGTATATTTTATCATATTTTAATTTACTTTTAATATTGTGTTTTAGTATTTTTATATTATGTTAGAGATGAAACTGCAGTTTTATACTATTTAGCACAATGTATATTTTTAATATTTATTTACAAATGTTATTCTTGTGGTTCAGATGGAAGCAGGAATGAAAATAATAAAGAACATGGAAGTGGTAGATTGTTTTATTTTATAAAAATGGATGCATGTCATTATAATAATCCAAATAATATTACAATAGTTTCAACTTAATCTATTGTGTATTGTGTTCTTACATTCATGTTATATTTTGTAATATGGAATACAATAAGAAAAATATCAGGAATACACTGCAATTATGTATTTTAAAGAGGCAAGAAAGTGGAAAATAAATCGAAGGTAGAGTTTGCTTTGGGAACCCAAGGTAAAAAACCAACCTTGACCTTCTTCAACCAGTCAAATCTTCTCTTGTCCTACAAATCCAATGCTCCCTAGGATCTACCTAAATATTCCATTTGGCACAACTTTCAGAATGATGCAAAAAGAAGGGAGTAAAAGTACCATTGTATGGCAGACAATATAACCAGTATTAAAATATTAGCAAAAAGCAATATTTGATGTCTTGAGGACAGAAAATAATAGGCTGATAGAAAGAGACAATGGATGTATTTTTGTTTTCTATGAGGTAAAATATCACAGAAGTAAAGATACAGAGATGTTTTGGAAGAATCAAGTGTTTTTAATATACTTTACAGCAAAGATATAAAATTTGATATTTCTTCTTTTTTAAATATTAAAAACAAAATTCATTAATATAGCTAGTCCTCAACTGTAATTGAGCCTGGTAATTATAGTTGTAAGTTATGATGGTTGTAAAGCAGGTCATCCTATGACCGATTTCATTTTATGACTTTTTGTGGCAGACATTAAGTGACCACCATGGTTGTTAAACAAGTGCTGTGCTCATTAAGTGAACCCACTGTATGGTGACTTTTGCTGGAAATAGAAGTAAATGCTGGTTTTCAGCAAAAATCGTAGTCATGTAAGTACGGGATACTGCAAATGGCTATATAAGTGGTTTGGTTACCAAGTGGCCAAAATGCAGTCACATGACTGCAGTGGGAACCAGCTAGAAGAACTTTGAAACTGGGTAGTATCTTTTGTGGGATCCTCAGAACTTTGAATGGTTGCTAAGTGACCAATTTAAGACAAGCACTACCTGTAGTCAGTTTTGCTGGCTTGTAAAAATTCTGCAAAAACAATGTTTTAACAGTTTAATTAAACATTTTCAAAAGTTTCATAAAAAGATTAATGTATTACATTAACTCACCTGTATCAGTAGAATACACCCGAAAACTTTTATCCCAAAATCCACAGACCAGGATATAGCGATTATCTGAAGTGATAACAAAGCACTGGGAATGGACTTGAATACTTTGGTCCAGAAGATCTGTGATTTGCCTTCTGTGCATACCTGTATTGCTAGCTAAAAAGGAGAAAATGAAAAGACAAGAGAGAAATAATAGTTTACTCCAATTGTAAAATAAATTTTAGTTTCTTGTCAAACAATCTTAAAATCAATAAGAATCTGAACCTCTAATTCTTGGGAGTCTTATTTCCATTTCTTTTTGCCCAATTTTAATACAAGGTGCTCAGATTATTTCAAGAAATAAATCATAAGGCTCTGACTATCTCCCCCAAAACTAGGGATATGATAAAATTCATTTTAGTGCAAGTTCAGCTAGCAAAACAAATTAGAGAGACTATAATTTTAGTAAATATACATTAATACAGCTTAAGCTTAAAAAGTACAGGTAATCCTCAAGGTACAAATGTCTGTTTAAAAAGGCTATTTGAAGTTAAAATTCACCGCTGTGTACTTACAACAGGGGTTCAAAATTGCAACCCTCAAGAGACTTGTCCAGTCATGTGATCTGGATTGGATCACTCCTGAAACAGCGGCCCTTTTTAGTCCTTTGGGACCCAAAAGTGGCCTGCAGTTATGATGGGCAAGTTACAAGGCCCATATGGCTGTGCCTGTTTTTTTTATCCCTGGTTACATGACCAATCAAGATCCGGAGACTTTGTAGCTGGTGCACTTTTTCTCCTCATTGTTGCCATGTAGAGAACTAGAGGAGTAAATATCTCCTTGCTCCCCTTGTTGCTTCTTTCATTGCTGTTAATACCCTGGCGTGCTGTAGTTGTCTTTGTAAATACTTTAAAATATTCTTTTTATTACAAATTGCTGTACTTTTTAAAATACTTTTCAAAGATAAGTTTTTTTTCATTACTGTGCTTGTATGTATTTGCCTTGGAATTGTTTGCAGAAATACTAGTACAGTAAATGTCTACAGAAAACATATTCAGTACTGTACAGTTCCTTTGTATTCTACTGCATTGTGTTTATTTGCAATTGTTTTGAGATTGCTTGCAAAAAGTTCCTCTGCATTCCCCTTACTGTGTTAGTTTGTGTGTGCTTTGAGATCACCTGTTTTTGTTTTTAATTAAAAAGCAGCTTCTGTGCACTGCTTTTAGTCACCAGTGAATGTTTCTAGTGCTTTAAAATAACTCATCACTACAGTAAGAGCCATTTTCCTCCTCTGCCAATTTTCTTTTTTTCCTGTGGAAATGGTTTTTTATTGGTTTCAGCCTCTGGTTCACTTAACAATTGTGGAAATCATTTAACAACCCAAAGAAAACAGCAAGCCTGATTTTCTCTTTCACTTAACAATTTGATCAATTTGCTTAACAATAGTGGTAAAAAAATGACATAAAAATGAGTCATATTCATTTTATGACAATTTTTATTTATGACCCTAATGGATAGGCTCCATTAGGGTTATGCCTTGAGAACTACTTGCATGCAGTTATATAACCCTTAATGATTTAATTCATTATACAGATTGTAGATCACTAGGAGCTTTATTTGAAGAGGGAAACCTGTGGTATATGTACTGCAGCATCATTGCATATATACAGTAATCATAAGATATATTAAACATGGTATAGATAAATATAATAAATATAGGGTGGAAATTGGGTATAGTAGTTATTTAAAGGATAACATCAGCTTAAGTTTCATCTGTTTCATTTATCAGATGAACCTAGACATGTTCAGCAAAAGCATTATAAATTATGGTTGTCAATGCTGCTAACATTGGATGTTCTTGCTTTGACAAAAGATGGAAATGCAGCCATTTTCCTCCTTTGCTTTTAGAGTTAGTTGATGCTGGGAGGGGGAATGTAGATGAGAGTCCAGCTAGTCATAACAATAATAAATCAGTTGTGGCAATCCAAGGTTATTGCACTCAGAGCTGATGAAGATTTGGCGGCTGGAGAGCTGGGGAGAAAGCCCACACTTCAAGCTAATTGGGGAATGTGATTTATGACTGTTAATTGGAGGAGGGAATTGTGCTTTGCTACTTTGTGCCCAGGGGAGGAGAATTCAGTTTTTGGCTTTAACTATGTAGTGCCAATACTTTGTTTCTCGAATAAAAGATTCTTTAAGGTAAACAATGCCTCAAAGTTCTTTTGAAGAATTTCATCTGTCAGAATCATGACAGTGATGATGTGACTGCTGGACTACGCAAGTGATTGTAAATGTGGGCTGGTTGCTGACTGTTTGAAATGTGATCACATGACTACAGGGGCACTGGCCATCAGAACTTCAGAACTGGGTCATGGGTATGTTTGGGGTGGGGGTCCACATTACTTCAAGCATTCACTAACCGACCGGTCATAAGTTGAGAATGGCCTATATTTAAACATTTAAAACTTTCAACTTTCAGATCATTTGCAATAATGTACAGTATTAATAAAAGTAAAACATCCTAAAACAAGCTGTTTGTTACTTCCAGATATAAATTTTAGCTATAACTTAAATGTTATCAATAGTTACATGCAACATAATTCTTAATATGTTTAGGGTAATATCCTTTTCAGACTACTCTTAGATTTAGCATATTTATCTACTAATTTAAGTGCCATTTATTCTAGGTACTAATATGAATAACACTAATTTTGCATTCCATGATTCCCTCCCTCTATCAAGGGGAGATAATCTTAGAATTCAATCTATTAGTTGCATGCTAAATATTAATGTGGAATAAACATAAAAGAAAAAAGGATAGGTGTGTTATTGTATTACATTTACAAAGAAAAATTATATCCTGTATTTTGCTCATACCAAAAATAAATCTTGCAGCCATCCATGATAAGGGTTGAATAGAATAACAGTCCCATGCTTTAAACATTAAATATAAAATGTTTATAGTTCATCTGATAAATATCTATCTGAAGCTTTCCAAGGGTTGTGATAAATACATTACAGAATATATTTTATGAAATTCATTGATGCTAAAAATAAAGGTTCAGAAATAATCTAGTGTATTTTTTTCTTTGTGATTTAAGCAACAGCACTATAATACAATATTTGTGAATCAAATGTATTGCAAGGTTTAATCTAGCTGAGAAATCATCTTCCTGCTTCCCTGGTTCTGATCTCGAAGTCAACCATACTTTAGAAAAAAAGTACTAATATCCTAACCTCAAAATGACTGAGCAATTTATTTCAACTCTGGAAGGAACTGCTCTGCAATTACACATTAATTCCATCAGCCTGAACAGCAGGCCTGTGGAAAAAAGGATTGATCTCCTGTAATTATAAAATTCTGGCACCAGAGTTTTATTTTTCACAACACAGTGCTGTTAAGAACCCTACTGTTATTATGAAAATTTCCTCAGCAAAGAGCTCCATCGCATTACTAGTGCACCAATTCATCATAACATGCCTTGCTCTTGCTCATCAACAAGTCTGAGTGATGAAAAGGCCCAATATTATCCTGACAGTACTTCATGCGCATTCTCAATCACACATTATTACGGCATTCATATTAATTTTCATTGACACACGTCCTAGGCCTGTTCAAATTAGGCAAACCAATGAGGGGGAGTTGATGAAATACCAGCATAGCCACAGCTCATTGCATTCCAATTTGCATGCAAATGGTTTATCAGGAAAATTCCATTCCCAGCAACCAGCAAGTGAAAAACAACCGTAATCTACACTTCAGGGCCACCATACAGAGCTTAATGAATCGCAAAGAGAGAAGGAAGTGACAGACCTATGAGAGGATCGATTTCCACTGGCAGCTGGTATGGCTGGTCCTGTACAGCACCTTGACGAGCTAAAAGAATGAGAAGAGGCTTTAGAAACAGTGCTGTTTTAGGTACTAAAATCACCAAAACAAAATCATATAAATCAAGAATTATGTCATACTGTTTTTTAAAAATTGGTCACCTCCCATTTATTAAATTCTATCAGCCAAAATTTCAAGTTTTTTTAAAGATTTGCTTATACATTTATTTCATCATTTCTGTTCTCAATGTATGCCATCACCAGAGATTTGGGCCATAAACTATAGCAGATGGTTAACCGGCAGCTTCTCATATTTCAAAAAAAACAAAACAAATGGTAAAGAATGCTGAAAACAAAATGTGATAGTCACTTGCTAACTATCGTGGATCTCATCTCCTTTCTTTAAGGGAACAAAAAAAAAACTTTGAATAGGATAGCACAATTACATGATTTTAGATAATATAATACAGAGGGGTATATCATTGTCTAAAAGTGGTGTAAACAGAGGAAAATCTCATTTGTGACTTAGTTTTGTTTACTGAAAATGTATGAACAATTTTTGTATTCAAAACATTCTTTTTTTAAAAGCTAAAATGCAAAATAATTATTCCCATAACATTTTTCTCAAAATATCAATGAAACTTTGCTATAATGGAAACTAGCATAAGAAAAATCATATGACCAATATCTCACCTTTGCACAGGCATATTGCAAAGATATGCTTATCATAAAACCAGCTTTGCTGGAATGATTACATAGTTCATGAGGAATTCAGAAATCTGTGATTCAGTAAAATCATAATAAGCAATATAAGTTTTTTTCTCTGTAAGGATAGATGTTGTACTGTACTCAGCAGTGAAATATTGTTGAATCAGCAGAATGAAGTGTATACAATTTTATTTACCTGAGTCAAATGAAATATGATTTCCATATTTTTCATTTTTTAAAAAAATTGGATAGGAATTATACAGTAAAATAACCAATATTTTAAACAAGAATAAAAAAGCTACGAGACAAGGAAGGACATTGAAATAGCAGGTAGTAATAAAACAGTGGACATTGTTTTGTTTTATAGAAATTTGATGAATTTCAAAAGTCAAAAGCAGTAAGGAAAAGATGAGGACAAAGGATTTGATAGGAGGGACGTTTTCATGAAGCACAAAAGGGTTAATGAGAATAATTGAGAACAGAAATATAAGATGCATTTACTATTTACTGGTACTATTTGGTTTAAATGTAAAAGCAACCACAAAGATAAGCTTTTTTTCTCCAATATCCTGCCAACTGACAAGCAGACATTATCCATTCCCTGACAGTTCAGACTAAATTTGGAGTAAAGTTGTTCACCTATCAGGAATAGCATTTCAACCAATTTACCAACTGATACATGAACATTTGTATTCAATTACAATTATTCCTAGACTGATGAAAAACCTTGATGTAAAATGCAGATAGACAAAGGACATTTAGAAACTTACAGGGGTCATATGTAATAGCCCTAAAATGATATATATTTTATATATTTGTTTTCACCATTAAAATTTAAACTGACACAAGCAAACCAAGGATAATTCAAAGCTTATATATGTTTTTATGTGGTTTTTGAAAATAACCAATCAAGATTTCGTATTTCAACTCTGCCTACAATTTTGTTTCCAGAACAATAGGAAACCAGCATCTTCCTAGAAATAGTAAAATTTATGGCTTATATTGCTCAGATACTTAGTAAGACTTGTTGCCAAAGAATGAGGCTGGTATTCTTATAATGTATTGTTATATACAGTTTGCATGGTTTACTGCATGACATTTCTGAAATGGTTGGAAGCTCCATTGCACTAATGCAACTATGCTTATACTTCTTTTTTTTTATTGAAAATTTTTATAAATTTTTACAAAAAAAACAAAATAACAATACAGAAACGGAAAACAACCTATACAGAAAAAAAACTAAACATGACATAACAAAACTCCCCTTCCCCAACCCCCCCAAAACGCCCACCCCCTTCCCCCCCCCCGAGCTTCCCAGAGCAGAATGATTCAATCTACTATGGAAAACCAAGTTATAGCCCTTTTGCACCTTACCACCACACACCAATCTGCTAATTATGTAATCAATATTTCTATACTCACCAGGAAGATTGTGCCACTTATTCACAGCAAACAGTCGGTTGACAGTGACAGTAATCACAGCAGGATTTGTCAAACCAGGCTGAGTGTTGGCTACTACATGTGTTACAGGAGAGTTGGATGGAAATTTTAGGACCATGATGACATCCTGTTGTGCTTGGTCTGTGAACATCAATGGACTCTGGAGAAGGAGATACTGTTGAGTGGGGAAAACAAGATCCCAACCACGAGGGGAAAAGGGAAAGGCAAAGAAGATTGGAAAGATAAAGTGCAGGAACAGTGAAGACCCCGTTAAAAGAAGCAAGAACCATCAGCAGCTGCAAGTGAATACTAATGCAATATTTTTTCACAGGACTATGGAAACAATATTTTGATTTCACATTAAAAAATACTTGGAGAGAGAAAAAAATCTAAATCCAACATCTATAGCAAGTCATAATGAAACTATTTCCAGGTGTCTGTGTATTAAAATTGCTAAGCTTCTCAAGCACCAGATTCAGGTGAAGAAAAGAAAGCCCCAATAAAAAGAGGAAAAAAAAACATGAAGATGAAAATCTGTTCTCCAAAGAACTGTAAAACAGCATTAAAGATCAAACTATAAATAGATACACAAATTAAGTATGCAATCCATATATGCTGTGCATGCCTTCTAGGTCTGTGCAATGCTTTAAATTCAGAACCAGGAACAGGCTTTAAGCCCATTATTTAGCATATACGTAATATCTCTCTGCAACTTGTTAAAGCAGCTGTGTCGTTTGTCTGAAATGGTATAGGGTTTCCTGCCTGAGCAGGAGCAAGGGGTCAGACTAAAAGACCTATTATTATTATTATTATTATTATTATTATTATTATTATTATTATTATTATTATTATTACTATTATTATTATTATTAACATTATTATTCCATGATCACATGTCTGCCCTGGAAAAAGACACAGCTTCTTTAAAAAAAGTAGCAAATGAAGGGTCTTTTTCGAATTGAACTTGAAGTATTATTGTATACAGCTTGAAAACCTTGAAGTTCATCTAGGAATATTAATTCAAATTAATTGTAGAATATAGATTTTTACGGCTACTACATTTTGATGAACTGAATATGTGCTGATTTTTCATTAGACTTATAACTAGCCTCTTCAGAGCAAAACAGCGTTACATGATAACAAATAAGGATATGACATCTGAAGTAAAATTCCATTTTAGACCTATTCTGATGAAGCCAGCAGTGTGATAGCTGACATTCAGCTGAATCAGCATCTATTCATTGTCTCACACAACATTTCTAGGAAATCATTTCACTAATCAATCCACATTAATTTAATTTTTAACCAATGGATTCTACAATTAAGTATGCATTTTTGGGGCTACTGTTCAGTTATATTACAGATATCATGACTTCATTCAAAGTTTCCCTTCAGTATCTGCTTCATTCATGATACAAGCCTATAGAAGTAGATTTTAAATAAGCATAGATGTAGATTTTAAACAATAGATAAAAGAAGTACAGATATGAATTTTAAAGAATAAACTAAACCAAGTTCAATGTTATTAACTAATACAGTATGTTGTATTTAACTAATATGTTGTATTGAAAATATTTACAAATGAAGAGTTTTTAATTTGGAAATATTATTAATCAATCAAAAGATTTTCTGCAGCTATTTCATCTTTTCCTCCACAACTGATTCATTTTTGGTAACAAAAATCAATAATATAAAGCAGGGGAATTCTGGGAGCTGAAGTCCACAAATCTTAAAGTTGCAAGGTTTGGAGACCCCTGACATAAAGTATGAGGTGGGGGGAAATCAGGAAAAGTTACAAATAGAAGAGGATATAATATTGTCAAGCTCCATAAGGCTAGCAAGTTCAGGAAACACTGAGTTTCTGGAAATATTATTATTACTAGTAGGGTTATATAACCAAAGTCCAAAATATCAAAATAATTCTGTCACACAATTTATACCTAATATAATTAAGGCAGAGTTACTGAGTCTCTTTCTCACACTTTCTGCCCCCTTGGACTCAGGACTCTCTTCTGTAATGTGCCAACCCTACCCTTAACTCTTACTGTCCCCTCCATGTTCTCAAGGTCCATTAGACATTCCACCACAAAGATGAAACTCTTATGTTCCAACTAATAGTCAAGGATGAACAATTTGACAACAATAGCATAATATCTCTAACTATGTTTCATTTAAGTATCTCATAGATGTCAAGAGGTTAGCTTAATCTGAATCTAATCTAATTAACAATCATATTTTAAGTCAAAGTTTTATAAATAAAATAAAATAAATTCCTAGCAATTCCTTGGTTGCTATGACACTTTTTCCTAATCTTTCCTCTTCCTGGAAAGCTAGAATTCAGTATAGCTCTTCTAGCAGAACCTCATGGCTATGGAGCTACTTAGACCTAGAACTGCAACTTGGCAACAGGAGTTTTCCACATAGGACAGAGCAAATTAGGTTTCCAGTATGACAATGTATATAAACAGGAAAACAGTCATGCCAACACAGTACCTAATGCACTGCAGACTTTTGAATTTTTGTTTTAATGTTTTACACCTTGCAATTTTGCATCCTACCTTCATAACTCTATTTGATAACAGAAGTTTCATTTGTTAAGAGGATGACTTTCTTTGCTATGTACTCTCAGATCAGAACCCTAACATCTGTAGAAGAGTCACAAAATTTTCTTTCAGCCTCTATTTCTTAATATAAGAAATTGCTCCTTTAAACGTTAGGATCCCATAATATATAATTCAATTTGCATCTTACCAATTACTGTTTAAGTTTGTGTGTATGTGTGTGTATCCTTATTGTGTAGTGGTTAAGGCATCAGGCCAGAAACCAGGAAATGTACTCCTTCCTTAGGCACGAAACCAAGTGGATGACCTTGGGCCAGTCACTCTCATTCAGCCCTTTTGCCAAGAAAAGTCCAGGGACTACTTCATGTAGTTGCTAGGAATCAACACTAACTTGGGAGTGCAGAGGCACATATATACACATCCTTTAAATATTACATCAGATTAAATACACTTATTTGATGAAGCTATAAAATAATTGATGTCAAAGGAATGATCAAGGTCCAGTCTTTATAACTCTCATCACTACGTTTAACATTTAGGAAGTAGCAAATTACAGCCATTTGCTCCTATTCTAACACAAATGGTATCAGGTTTTATCAGTGATGGCGAACCTTTTAGAGACTGAGTGCCTAAATTGCAACCCAAAACCCACTTACGCATCGTCAAGTGATGGGTGGGTGTGGCCCATTGGCTGGGTGTGGCCTTTTGGGTGGAGTGGCCTATTGGGTGGGCATGGCTGTGGTGGTAATGGCAGACTGGGACTAAAAAGTTCAATCAATTCCAACTTTGCAAGATCTTTTTTCCCACGAAAAATTGAAATTGACTGATTGAACCTTTTTTTTTTTTGCACATGGCAGTGGAGGCCTAAAGTAAAAAGGTTTTATAAAACCCAGCTGAATGCCTAGGACTGGGGCGACGGTGCATGTGTCCACAGAGAGGGCTCTGAGTGCCATCTCTGGCACCCGTGCCATAGGTTCGCCACCACTGGGCTATATTATCAAAATCATACTTTCTCATATTTTCTGATACTGCTTGAGATAACTAATATGTAACAGCTGAGCCAATAAAAGAACTTATTGTTAGTGAGCATGGTATTAATATACACTCTGCTGAATAAAATTATTATTATATATTTATTACTAATATTATTTGTGAATATTCCTGAAATACTATTTTTTGAAAGGCATTGTATTTTGGGAGTTTGAATACAGTGACAATAGTTTTTGCCTATTTATCATTAGTTGTATATGTACATTTAGTACCTTTTTATAGATAACTAATAACTAATACATTTGTCGTTTTATATCCCTCCTTTGAAGAAACAGCATTAAGAGTACGTAGAAAAACATGCTACACTATGAATTACTATTTGTAATCTTAGCATGAAGGTGTAAATAAAAACAACTAATAAGCTACCCAGACATACTTTTGAGCAAGTGGCTAAAAGCCAATCAATATTATGAGTTAATCCTCCCTGGATGCTCATTCAATTAAAGGTGTCAGTAATGCCTCATCTGATGTGGCCTCAATTAAATCCATCTATCTGATGGTGTGAAAACACAAGGGGATACAGCAACAGCAGCCAAACCAGACAAATAGGCAGCATCCTTGTGATTGCTAATTACTACACCTGGTGCATATTATGGCCTGTGCACTTAACACAGCCCATGGTGCCTTTAATGTCTTCTCCACACAGAACCCAAAGAAATTAGTGGAACTTTTAACAATTAAACCAATCATTACAATGGTAAAACTTTGATTTGGTGCTCTAAAAAGTTAACATAGCATGGAATGAAAATTTTTGTCATTCTCATTTTAACACCTAAAAAAATTAAAACACACAGAATAAAAATGTGAACTTTAAAACTCATCTCTGAAGGTATAGTTTATAAAACATTTGCTGAGATGCTATCATCGGTTGCATGTTCGCCTCTCTGGCAGAGGTCTGAAGTGCTAAAAATGTATCTTTTTTGCATACACATTAAACTCACACATAGTCAGTACATACATATAGATATGCACAAATATGTATGATTTGATTTTGTTAAAATTATAGGAATTGCCTGAACTAAATTCTTGATTTTCAAGTAAATAGCTATAGTGTTATCTGACTTTAAATGAGTGATCTAAATCCACCCACTAATTTCAAAATGTTTACACAAACTTAATACCATACTTTTTAATGAATTTGGGTAAAAGCAGTATTGTTTAAATTTATCTTTTGATTTTATTTTTGTTTTCACTTCAAAAGACATTATTAATTTCTTTCCATTTTTGTATATCTCTCCTCTCTTTTATTTCTAAACTGCATTTCTGTGTGAAAAGGAATATCAAATTCTAAGAGCAGATTTGAATATCATCCAAATATGTTTGAACATATAGCTTTGTAAAAGCCATATTTTGTACACCTGCCCATGTACAAAAAAAGAACAATAAAGTGCACACTGAGTTTAGTAACTGTGATCATGTTATGTTGTCCCTGAAATTAAAATGGAGCATCATTATTTAAAAATCATTATATTCATCTGATTAAACTTAAATAAGATCCCTAAAATAATTTTTTAAAAGTATTTTAGAAAATAAGTTTATGCCATGAAAATGATGTACTCCAGTGGAATTCCAATAAATTGTAATGGATTATAATTTCAGTGGAAGAATAATATTTTAAAAAGTTTCACTGTAAAATATTAGTTCTGGTATGCATGCAAAATGTTTGCATTTTATATGTTTAAAACAAAAAAAAAAGATTTTATGTATTTAAATTCAGAATAGTTTTTTTACCAGAGTATAAAATCTGGACTCAACTTACCAGCTGCATAGCAGAACTTCTTGGAGGATGTGGTTCTATAAGCACTTGGGAAGGAGTCTGTCCAAAACTTCGGATCTGAGCTTCCACTGCCTGGGAAAGACATCATCAATACAGTCTTATATGGAAAACGATTATCATAAATTACATTAAGAAATACTTAACATACTGAATATTTGCTTCATTGCTGTGTGTTTGTCATACTGAGAAAGTTATAAATAATTACAAGATACGTAAATTTTCCTGCTTTCTCTAGTAATAAAGAGACTACAGACAAATATATTTTCTTTGGCAGCAACTTTATGTGCTTGTTCTATATGTTTATGTCCGAAAAGAACTACAAAATATAATTTTAAAAAGGATTGGGGAGATGTGAAAGACAAAACGAAATACAAGATTATCTATAATTTTAGTCAAAATAATGAGAATGATTAAAATATTCCAAATGCATTATTTATTTTCAATTTGTCCATCATATATATTTAGGCAGTACATGTACAACTGAACTTGCATCTAAAGGGAAAGCTCTTCGCCATCTTTTTGCAATTTCACCTGCTGTTTCCAAGATTTCTAGATGCTACAAATCAATGATACAGCCCTTGTTTATCAGCCATGTTTCAATGAAAACTATTGCAGGGAACTAAGGAAGAATATGGCCTATTTTGCAGGCAATGAGAAGAGTTGTTTTTTTTTTAAATTGTGCCTTTGAGTCAGTGTTGACTCATGGTGACAAGTCCCTGCAGTTTCCTGCTTCCTAGGGCTGAGAATGAACAAGTAGCTCAAGATCACCCAGCTATCTTCAAACCTTAGCTGGGATTGGAATTCAAGATCTCCTGGTTTCTAGCTTGGTGCCTTAACCCCTACACATAACTGCCTTTCTTTGAGATTTTAAAGATATCCCTGTCTGCATGAATACTTTTCATAATAATAGAAAATAAATAACATGTTAACATACAAGACAAAACACTACAAACTAGTTAATTTTATAATCATTCAGTTCAATCATTTAATCATTCAATTCTTAATCATTTACCTGAGAATAAATTTTACTGAACATAGTATCATTATCAAAACTTTATTATTGTCATAGATCAGCACAAGGAAGGGGGGGGGAGTAAAATCAGTACAACTTATAGAAGATACACCAGAATCTAAAACAATTAAGAAAAGCTAAAAAGATGTAAAAATATGTTTTAAAACAGAAAATGTATATAAAAAATGAAAGAAAATAAAAAGGGGTAGCATAAAGGTGAACATGTGAAAGACTCTAGCTATAAAATTTCAGAGCATTCTAGTATGGTGAACTAGATGTTCATTAAGTCTAATTTATCGTACAGGTCATCATCCAATGAATTTTAAGCACTGCTGAACAAAAATCTGGCAATATTGTATGTTCTGGCTACTGGCTGGTATCTGAAAGCAGCAAAGAGGTATAGAAGAGTGGTCCTGTATATCCTGGATATTTATATAGTAATAGTGAGATGAGGCTGCTACAAATGTCTTTATATAGCAGGCACTGGAAAACAGATGCTCTGTTGTTTCTGTGCATCCAAATTTATAGCGGCATTGTCTCTTGGGTAAGGAATCTATCTATACTTACTAACCTACCTACCTTTATTTTGGTAAGAAAGGGGTGAATATGTACGTATGTTTGTATGTATGTCTACATGTATTTATGTGCTTGTGTGCAAGAAATATATATATATATATATATATATATATATATATATATATATATATATATATATATTTGCAATATTGCTTTCTATTGCTGCTTTCCTCCACCATAACCTGTACACCCCAGAATATGCGTTTGTATGGAAACAACGTGTATTTCAAAATATTAAGGTGAATGAAACTTAAGTATAATCTAGGTTTTTTAGAACACCATCTTACTGTAACAATACTTTTCACATAAGAAAATAGAATAATAAAACATACTTTTGTTCAGCCTAATTATGAAAATAACTCCTGCATGTATAATTACATTGAAACTGTGAGTTAAAACAGAGAAGTAATTACAGCCTGCAAAAACGATTTATTTCTCTCTCAGTGTTTTGCAACTTTCTCTAATCTGAGCCTGTACATTCCAGACATATTAAACTGAGGCCTAGTACAGCTTCAATGCAGTCTTCAAACCATGCAAAGCCTCCATCTACCACACTGTAATCCCAGCTGCCAATCTGAAATAAACCAGTTAGGCAGAGCAGACATAACCTACAGAAACAAATGCCACTCAATAATGTTTAGAGGCACTGGGTTCATGGATAATTTCAAACAGTGTCTTTGTCTGGAACATTGATGTGCTCACTGAGAACACCTAAATCTCTGGCTACTGGAAAAAAGCAGATAAAGCGGAATAAGAAAAATGAGCCTTGAAAATACTTCAAAGAGACAAAGAAAAAATGGCAAAGGAATTCAAAGAAACTATAAAGAAGACTGGAGAGAATACATGCAATGCTGCAAATATTTCAGGTTGAAATAGATTTCCATATGAGATTAGGAACTATCACATTTACATATATCATGATAAAACTATCATTCAGGATGCATATCAAAATTCACAGTGCTGGATATGAGTCACTTAACTTAGCCATAACAAGATTTCAAGTTAATTTCCACAAGATACTGTCAATGGAAAAGGAATATCCTATAGAGATTGCCAATTGAAACACAAGTTATTTGTAATACGTAATTCTATTTAGTATATTGACTTTGGCATTATTAGCATCCTTATGTTGACCAAAACTTATTTTTCAACAAGTTTGCGATGGATCAGAGATACTCTTACACTGCCTCTATTAGATATTACATCGCTAAATAGTATGTTTGGATTCAACACATTTAAAAAAAATAAAATAAAAAACTGGTACCATTTAATGGTATTTTACATGGAGGTTTTCAATTGAGTTTAGACTAATCCTTAACATTTATTTAGCTTTTCACACACAGTTCCTGCGCTGCACTGTGTCAAACAAACCATCTGGACAGCACACTTCTGGCTACAGCTTCTACCAAGATAATTTGCTTCCAAAAACCTTCTGAGCTGTGTCTATGTGGAGTCCTCATTTATTTAATTCACACTTTCAGAATAAATATCAATGTTGTAACATTTTCTAATAATTATATAAATTTTCTAAGACATCCAGAAACACCTGTCCATAAAAAAGACAACTGCCAATAACTTGAAAGTATTTAGCAGCTATTGAAGTATGCTGAAAATACAAATTGTATTTGACTTCATGAAAGATTCGCTGGCTAAGCTGGCTAAACTTAAAACTGATTTAAAACTGAAATTTCCAGCTTCCACTAAGAATTTTAAAAAAGCATAGGATGCCATGATATTTTTAAAGGATAGTAGATCTCTTCTATGGATAAGAAATAAGGATCATGTAAATGAAAGGTTACAAAAAATCAATAAAATAAATAATGTTGCAAACTGTATATTAAAGGTGGGAACTTGTTTGTCTTCTAGGTGTTGCTAAACTTTCTAGCATCTGTAGCCTGTATGCTCAGTGGTGAAGGGTTAATGGGAATTACAGTATAGCAACAACTGTTGGAACATACTAATATTTGATACATTTTCTAATATCTAAATAAGACCTAAATGCAGAAACTAATGAAGTCAAAATAAAGACTACAGAAAGCATTTGAAAGAGAAACTTCACATTTTCATTGGCTTCATCAGCAAAAATAAGCAAGTGATGCATGAACACAGTGGGAACAGCCTTTGAAGCACCTGTCTGAGTTTCCAGGAAGACATAGCTGTCTTAAAACTTCAAATAGTGATTTTCAAATACTTTGCCCAGCTATATATTAAAAATTCATTCAATTCTGCTCCTATGGATGCTCTGTGTCTGCCTCAATCTCGGGTCCTCTACCAGGAGCCTGGGAGTTTGAGGCTTCTGTGCAGTATTTTAGTTATTCCTAACACTTCACTCTTTTGGACAGAGAATGGTGATATTGTTTAATGACTCATAAGGTAGGGGTTAGAGTGCCACCTTTAACATGAGAGACCAGGGTTTAAATCCTGGCTGGTATCTACCTTACCCATAGGGGTCCTAATGCTTCACCTAATGCTTCACCTGCCTGTGACAAATATTAGAGTGATGCAAAGTAGTAGAATCGTGCTGGTTTGGATGGTGCCCAGAATAAAAGGTCCACATCAGATGTCTGAAGCCCTAGACTGCTAAACAAAGATTCCCAGCACTGGCTATGAGGCTAAGGAGATACACTAGAGAAGCAGAGGCCAAGAAGATAACTGCTCTGTCGTCCAAAGAACCATTCAAGATGTTTTCCCAGCTGTGGTACAACAACACAGTAACAGCAGAACCACTATCAACTGAAACTGAACAGTACTGGAAGCAAGCATGCACACACAAACACACCCCTATGAAGTTAATGACAGTTTACAGCACTTAACTATACAAAAATTATTTGATTTTCTCATCTTTGGCAGAAAGGTGGTTTGAATTAAACAGGCCATTTTATTTAAAAAGTTCAGCTTCAACTAAATCAGCTTCAAAATATATCCTTCTTAGATACTGAGAAGTAGATTAAATTTATCTTTTGTATTTGTTACAAGAAAAGTATTTACATTTTAAATCCTATTAAATAAATTTAGAATATAAGTGATATCTTACCGCACGAGCTGTTTTGGTTGCCAATGAGCTTCCAGGTTCAATTCATATTAGTCATCACCTATGAAGCCCTTCATAAAATGGAGCAGAATGGAGGGACTACTTCTCCTTGATTGTATCTACCCATCCCATCAGATTCGGAAGGAACGGCAGGTATGGGTCCTGTCTTCTAACAAATTCTACTTGGCAAAACCCAGGAAGAGTTGTGGCACTTATTGGAGTTTCATCTCACTGAAAATGAATGAGACCTAAACCTGTTGGCCTTTCATAAGGCCTTAAAAATTGGCTATGTCTTCAGGCATCAGGACTATAATGTATAGGAGAGCCTGTGAGATGGTTATGTTGATAGTTGTGATTTTTATATTGGCTGCTGGTAATTTATTGTTATAATGCTGTTATGTTGTATTTTTAGTATCTATGTCCTTATGATGTTGAAATGGGTGATCATATCAATTGAAATAAATAAATAAATAAACCCAGCTAATGCCTTCCAAAAGTGCATCAATTTCACTGCAATTCTTTTCAACAATATAACCTGGAAGAAATGTGCCTTGGCATTTATTTTGTGCAAGAATTTTCATCACATTTTTTAAAAATTACTAATTAAGCAAGTTTCAATATATGTAGTAGTGAACCATGCAGGGTAAGAACTATTTCTATTGTATTATTAATAATGTCTTGGATCCTAATAATGTTACACTATCATGAGCATTCTCTCAGTAGAATTTTTTTGATAGAAAATTGCCATCTTTAAAACAGGAATAAACATTTTTTTTCATGATAAACTTTACTGGCTATAGTCTCCAGAAATTTATTCCAGAGAGTTAGTAAAATGTCTGGATCAATGTTGAGAGGACATAATGTGCTATAAAAAATAAATCAATTCATTTCTATCTTCTTGTCCTATGAAAGTTTTTGTAAGATCATAAACAATTGTTCTATCCATAACAGAAAATTTTAATTCAGCCTAATATTTAGATATACAGTTTATAGTCCCAGTCTGAATTATTATATAAATAAAGCATCCTAAATAAACAACTTCCTTTAAAGCATTTTCCATGGGATAAATTATAACATTTCTTTTTAAAAGACCCAATGTACTTGTGAATTCATAGACATTTATTTCAATATGTTAGTTTAAGAAACTGTGTTCCATTGTAATTGGTCTCAGAGGCTCTCGTATCCCAAAGCAGTAAAATTTAAAATGTTTAGAGAAGTTGGCAAACCTCTTTATAGAGAGCAAACTATTTTTATGAACTAACAAAAATATTTCACTTTTATTTTATAATTTTTGACCAATCAAGCCAATGCTGGTCATATATGTTGCTCTCAATTTTGGAATGTTAGAATAAATCTTTGAAGAGACGGATTAACAGACAGGGAGATGATGAGTTAGTATAAGGGTGTGTAAGAATTTCATTTATCAAATGGATTGACAGTGTATCATATACATATTGGTATGATTACATGGAGATATGCATAGAACTTTCATATTTCTTATACCTTCTTCTATAATGAAAGGAAAAATTATTATCCAGAAGTAATGGTAAGAAAGATTTTTTTTTCAATCTCTAAGGTATAATATACAGAAGAGACTTGTCACAATTTCTGAACAATAAACAGCAGAATATTAAAAAAAATGTAATCTATTCTTTCCAGGTTAGAAATTAACAAATTAATAAGAGCGTCCAATAGTTATAGCAATTAGGAAAGTAAATGTCATATAAGCTACCTCACCTCTTCCTCAAAAGCCCTTGAGGAAAATAACACAAAAAAATTAATTTTGTCTTATTTCTAATCTTAAGGAAAACAGAGAATCAGTTTCAATTCTGATGTTAACTTTAGAAGAGTTAGCTAATGTTTATTTTCCTTTTGACTGACTAAAACCGTGGTAAGCCAAAACCCTGAAGAATTAACACTTACTGTGATAAAGACACATGGTCAATGAAGGTTTGCTTTGGTTCATAATATGGAATGTAAACATAGCTACTTTCAAGGTACATTACGTTTCCTGATTGTTAAAGTACTAATGTTTTTTTTCTTTTTTTCCCTATGCAATATAAGATATTCTTTTTTTAAAAAAAATAAAAAATATACATGTATTAAAGACTAAAACAAACCATTCTTGAGCTTCTTGCTATTTGTAATGCACTGTTTGTGAGGTAATATAAAAGACTAATATCTTTTTTTCTACTCCTAATCTGCAACATCATATAGCCCAAATCTTTTCACTGATCTGTTTTACCCTTTAGCTCAGGGGTGTCAAACTGCCGGCCAGTGGGCCGGACACGTCACGATGAAACTGCGCCCATCCCATTGCCAGCAATGGGGAAAACGCTCCGATACATCACGCAACATCACGTGATGTCGTGAGTTTAACATGTCTGCTTTAGCTCATACATCTTGAAGAATATAAGAAATAATTAAAATCTAGGAAAATGTTGATATGAGGAAAAACAAAATAAATGAACAAATATTTCAGAAGGTCAACAGAAGGCTTACATCTATATTAAATGATCACAAGGTTTCCAAAAATTAATTTCATTTTTATTAATAAACATAGTTTAGGCCAAAGTATCAGTAAACTTCATTCTTTTGTTTATCAGCATAAGCTGTTTTTAAACAATTAAAGACTCCATAAATGTTTAAAGTGCAGCAGAATGTTAAGCTATTACATCATAGAAATAGTAAAATAGGGAACAGACCCTTTTATTCACAAATTATTGTAATGCTGTTTTTCCACATGTGCTGGCTATCTTGGAAATTAACATAGTGAGAACTTTGTTCTTTCAAAATTCCAGATTTCTTGGCAAAAAGAAAACAGCATTCTGTATGTCCCTTTGTGTAATAAAGACATTTAATCACACTACTAATCTTGAGCTCTTTGTATTTTAAAAGTTCTTACAAAGAATTCATGGATACCATGACTTCTTGTCTTATACATATGTTTGCAAGTAGAATTTATGTCATGTCAATTTATCTAATTCTAATTAATTAACTGTGGTGTGCAGAAAGTTAGGAAACCCTCATGGTGATTCTAGCAGCTTTCTGTATTAGATTTGACTAGGAAAGTGGGTTAATAACAAATAAATATCTATGCAGTTAGTCATTTTTGCTTCTATTATACACATCTCAAAGTTTATCACAGAAAGAGAAGCTAACTACTTGGAAAACTATTTTAAATAAATACACAAACACACACATATACACACTCCTAAAATACTCCTAATATATCACGGCAGGAAGGCTCAGAAATCAGAAGGTCCTGTCTCATGTCCAATGTTTATGCTCATTAGAAGCATCTCAGAAAATCATAAGTAAAAGTGAACGTTGGTAATAAAATAAAAATGGCCATGAATGGATTCAAGCAAAAAAGCATAACATGGTAATGCCAGTGAGGACAGGAGCAATGGTGCAAGTCATTTTTAAATCAATTATTCAAACAGTTATTCTCTTACAAATTCAGAAAAAATATTTCAAATGTGAATTTTATGTAGCAGCATTTTATAAAGTTTGCCAGATCTAACGTTACATGTTGTACATTCTTTTGTTGATAAAGATGTGTTTGTTTTAAATTATGAAAAAATAAGTTATTATAGGATTACATATGAAAAAGACCACTGGATTTTGTTTTATTTTTAGTGCGTGTATAAAAATGGTGCACCAATCACAAAACTTCCTAGGCTTTTTCTAAAAAAATAAATAAATCAAAAACCCCCACAGTGGAAAATCTAGAAAGAACTATAAATATTTCATTAAAATCTTTTAAATCCATAATTCTTGTTATAAAAGCTTATAATAATGCACCTAAAATTTACAAAGAGAACATTCAACAGTGATGTATATATTTTTTCTTTTACATGAAGTCTTATAGAGTTTCAGAACATCCTCAAAGTCATTTTACTCAAAAATACTTGCTAGCCACAGTATTTCTCTTTTCACAAGTTCTTTTCAGTTTCCCAAGCTGCTTTTTCCATTTGTAAAATGTAGGAAACCTTGTAGAGAGAAGACCATTGTCCAAGAAACAGGCTCAGAGAAAAGATAGAGAAACTGTTCTTATCCATTTAAATATTGGGTCAGCAGTTTCCCTAGTATCGTGCTCACAGTTTTCCCTAATGCTTTATATATACCCTATTGAGAGAGGTTAAATGGTAAATATAGGGCAAACCTTTTGGGCACTCAGTCTCTTTTAGAGACTGAGTGCCCAAACTGCAACCCAAAACCCACTTGTGCATCGTCGGGTGCTGGGTGGGTGTGGCCCATTGGCTGGGGGTGGCCATTTGGGGGGGTGTGGCCAATTGGGTGGGCATGGCTGCAGTGGTAATGGCAGACTGGGTGGGACTAAAAAGTTCAATCAATCAATTCCAACTTTGCAAGATCTTTTTTTTTTCCCGCGAGAAGTTGAAATTGACTGATTGAACCTTTTTTTTTTTGTACATGGTGGCAGAGGCCTAAAGCGAAAAGGTTTTAAAAAACCCAGCTGAAGGCCTAGGACTGGGGTGACGGTGCACGTGCCCACAGAGAGGGCTCTGAGTGCCGCCTCTGGCACCCGTGCCACAGGTTCGCCACCACTGATATAGGGTATTTGGCACAGTTATGGGATAACAGCTTTTCACAGCCATGCACATAGATGGAAAGTGTAAGCATGTCTGCACATACAATCACTCTAAGAACTAATTTTCCATGATGTAGTATTACAGTAGATTTCTTTGTTTGCCAGCTTCAGTCCATAACACTTCAGCTATACAACACTGTAGCAAGTTCTTGTCCTAGCAGTCTAAAATAACAGAGAAGATCAAATAGAACAAGGCAAACAAGGCAGAAAGGAGAAGACCGTCTTGCTAATAACTTACAAGATCTAATTTGAAGAATTATCCCATGTGTAAACAAAATAAAACTAAAATGATATGTTAGTGTGGGTAGGGTAGAAAATATCCTTTAAAATGTCTATAAATACTTTTAAATTACAATAAAATCAAATATGCTTTATAAATATTTCAAAAAGTCCCACATTTCTTCATAATTTTTATTCTCCCAGATATGAACATGCTTACCTCTCTCAACATTGGATCCATTATTGAATTGAGATTGACAGCTCCTTCATAGGTTAGATAGTAGAAAACATTTAGAGATCTGACAGCTTCCGGCCCTTGCTGCTTATAGCCAAAAATCAAATCAATCCACTGGTGCAGTTGACAGGAAACAAATTCACTTTCCAAAGCCTGAAAGAAAATACAACACTGTTTATATTGTTTATATTGTTTCTTTAACTTATTTGCTGTCCACAGTCTTAAATAAACAATAATGCAAAGGTTAGAAATATGCAAGTGCCTTAGAGCAGGGGTCCTCAACCTTTGCACCTTTAAGACTAGTGGAAAACCCTCCAGGATGGATAGAATTAGAATGGTGGGCATACCTGCAACTGCAGGTGAGATATCAGAAAGACAAAAAAGAGTTAGGCATTAAATTAGAACCAATAGAACTGGATAAAATAATATTGGGGTCGGAGGATAAAATGATTAAAAAATTATACTACTATTTGTTAGATCAGGCAATGTACGAGGAACAAGTAAAAGTGACTATGTTGAATTGGAGCAAGGACTTTGGTCTTAATTTTGATCTGCACATCTGACAAGAACTATGGGCAAGAAACAAGAAGCTTACTTTGGCCACCTCTTACAAATAGAACCTTTACAAAATGTTTTATAGATGGCATCTCCCACCCACAAGATTGGCTAAAATGTGTACCAATGTCTCCCCTAAATGTTGGAAATGTAATTTGACAAGTGGAACTTACTATCATATGTGGTGGGAATGCATGCGAGCTCGTGATTTTTGGAACAGGATTAAAGTATGGTTGGAAGAAATATTAGAGCAAGTGGTAGAACCAAAACCAGAACTCTTTATATTAGGTTTAACTACACAAAAGCATGACAAAGGCGTACTTTATTTAATGCTACACATTTTAATGGCTTCCAGACTGGTTTTTGCTCAAAATTGGAGGAATAAGGGAACTCCAACGGAAGAAGAGATCCTGCATAAAATTTTATCATGTGCTGAGATGGACAGGCTTACAATGATTATGAAAGACAAGACAGAACACGAATACTTCGAAATCTGGGGCAAATTTTACCGTTGGTATGAATTAAGGAGAACTGCTCGGACTTCAAGTTAATGGTAGAATTAAAAGATGTATATAACTGTACATATAATTGTATATATAATTGTATTGTATAGAAGATGAGGCTTATATAGAGGTTAAGAACGATGTATTAAACTTTTGTACCATGGTAGGAACTGATAGGAAAATTCATCCTGGAATGTCATGTTTGTCCATTGTTGTTTTAATTGTATTATGAATAAAAACATAAAAAAAAAGACTTGTGGACTTCAATTCCCAGAATTACTCAGCCAGCACTGGCTGACCCCTGCCTTAGAGAAACTGAACTGTGACAATGCTAGTTGCAGCTGTTAGAACCTGTTGGATCAACTGTGCCACGCAGATCCCTGGTGGAGTTTTAAACATTTGCAACAGAGATTGTACTAGTATTAAAAGAAAATAATTCAAGGTTGAACCATGAACAATTAAATTCACCATAGATGAGTAATTATAGTCTAATCTGCCAATAATAGGGAAAGATGAGAGACTATATTGATCATCTCAATCTTGTACCTTTCAGTTGTGTGGGTACCTGTGTCTCACCACATTTGAAGAGTACCAGCTTGGGAAAGAAAATACTATTACATAGCTAAAGAAAAAATGCTGCAGCCACATAATTTATGCAGTGTTTCCAACTGCAGAAACAGGACACAATTGAGGTAGCCACTATCTTAAAATGATGCAATCTATATATTGAATGTAACACAACTTTTATCACAACTTATAATTTATTACCTCTATCCTGAATGTTGACAATATCACATAAATAGCTAGAAGGTAATTGGTAAATTGTACTAGGACAATAACAGATTTGACAAATATGTAGTTTTCTGGACTATACATAAAATTTGTGTCAATTACAATTTCCTCTGTAGTATGGAAAAATGCAACAAACATACTAGAATTTCAGACTTTTATATTGCATCATTTACCTTCACCTATAGGTGTCAATAGTTTTCAAGAAGTGCTTTATGTGTAAACCAGCATTATTTCAAATGGAGTCCAATATTGAAATCTTAGACTTCCTTCCCTATATATAATTAAAATGGGCCAGCACTAACCTTTCAAAGGTTAAATAATTGATTTATATATAAATTAATTAATTATAATTAAACAATTATTAATTATTGAAATAATTAAATAATCAGAATAACCATAACTGTAATAGTACCATAATATAATATCACTATTGGTTTTGGTATTTATTATTATTGTAATAATAAATTAAAATAATTAAAAGCATTACAAAAATCTTATTTCAGAATCTTGTCTTATGATAGAAATCAACCAATGTAATTTCTAAATCAGTTTAAGTTATAATTGCTACACATCATTAAACACATCATCCATCATTAATGAGTTAAGCTTGACTTTTAAAAAAATTCATCTCTTATTTCCTTTATTGCATTCTCTTCAAGCAATATACAGCTACTGTACATTGATCATTATATAAAATAATGCTTCTTTCAAGGAAGTCTTTTTTTATAGAGATTTCAAATCATTATAATTTCTATTTAAAATATAGTTTCTAAATGAACATTATTTTTGATATCTTGATAGAAATCATTTGATAGGTGATTTCTCAGATTCAGTAAAAGATGTCTAGTGAGTCTAGGACTGTAAGCCCTAAAACAGGGCTTTTCAACCAGTGGTACGGGTACTATCTGTGGTACATTAGCACCTGGCAGGTGGTACACAACCATCCTACAAAAGTGGTAGCGGGGGAGGGGAATGAGCTGAACCAGCGCAGCACCGAACAAGCCTGAGCGAGAGATGGCTGGAGCTGCAGGGCTGTCAGGGCTCAGCGGAAGTGCCAGGATCAGTGCCCAGCTCCAGCTGGAGCTCGATGCTGATCCTGGTGCTTCTGCTGAGCCCAGAAGAAGCGCCGATCAGCTGGAATGTTGCAGCATCTCCAGGGTATTCTGATTTACATTCAGATGCTTGGCAACTGATTCATATTTATGATGGTCACAGTGTCCCAGGATCATGTGAAGTGACCAAAACCTGCTGCAATCATCCAGCAGATGGGGAGAATAAAAACAAAACACCCCCCTATCCCACCCCCGCTGCCAATTCTCAACAGAAATGCTCACAGCAATGAAAACCTCGGCTGCGGCTTGGGTGGCACTTTTTTCAGTGCCATTGTAACTTCAAACAGTCACTAAGCAAACTGTTGTAAATCGAGGACTACCTGTACTTTATCACTTTTTTCCTTTTTTTTTTTGGTTATCAAGTTTTTGACACCTTGCTAGGTGACTGGTGGTACTCGGATGTTGCCATATCCTAAAAGTGGTACAATGGGTAAATAGGTTGAAAAGCCCTGCCCTAAAACACAGAGCGCAATAAGAAACATACACCACAAAAACCTAAAACTACTCCTATTAGAACAGCTACTGGATTTTACAAGTCTTAATGTGCTTCCCTTCATCCCTTTTTTTAATCTTAATGGGAATTAAGCGGGAATAATTATTTGAAGTATGTTTGTAAATCACTTTCCTGGGCTGGGCTTAGTCTTGTTTATCTGAATTAGTAGAGGGTCTTTCCTCTGTCCTTAAAGGCCTCCTTCTTTACTCACTGCAGATGTACATGTAACAAATGTTTATGCAAATAATTTTTGTATTCTTCCAAAAATTTTTGATTGATTGATTGATTGGTGCCATCACATCAGTCTCAACTCTAAGTGACTTCATAGATTTTCTCCATGACAATCTGCTCTAGTCTGTTGTTTCAGGTCTTCACCAGTGAAATTAAGGCCATCTGTCCTGCTGTTGGTCATCCTCTTGACTTTCATTCTTTCTGTCCCAGCATTAGAACTTCTTTACAGAGTAAATCTTTTCATCCTGTGCCTGAAGTGGGATACTCTGAGACAGATCATTAGTGCCTCAAGTGAGAACTTTGGAGTTGATTTGTTTGTTGATCCATTGATTTTTCTGTTTCATTTTTTTGTACATGATATTCTCTGGAGACTTCTCCAAACCAAAGTTCAGAAGCATCAATATTCTTTCTATTTAAAGTCCTTGATAAATTAAAGATGAAGGCCTTCGAAAAAATAGTCAGATACCATGATATGTATATACCTACAAAAATCAGAATAATACATGCAATAGTATTCCCTGTGAAACTCTATGAGTATGTAAGTTGGACTAGTTTGCAGATATTTCTTGACTGCTTGAATGCTTGAGACAAAAGCTATTCAGCACTTCAGTATCTTAATTGACAATTCTAAGCTTAGTTATTGTACCTATTGTACCTGAGTGTCATTAGTGTGTTCTTCTTTATATTTAATTTTAGTCCAATGTTTCCATCAATACTTTTTGATGTAATTACTACAGCTTGCAGATCCTTTTCCTTTATGGCTGTCAGGGTGGAGTCATCAGCATAGCACAGGTAATTGATGTTTCTTCCTCCAGCTTTAAAACCATGCATATTTTATTCCAGTCCAGCTTCCCTTAATATATATTCAATATACCGTGTTTCCCCAAAAATAAGACCCGGTCTTATTTATTTATTTTTCCTCCAAAAGAGGCATCAGGTCTTATTTTCAGGGGGGTGTCTTTTCCACTCACCTCCAGCACTGACAGCCATGCCCAGCTGGCCCACTTCTGCGTCCGAAGGAGCAGCTTCATTCTGCAGCTGAGAATGGAGCTTGTGCCTGCATTTCGCAGTCAAAGGCCTTTCTGGAAGGCCTATGCAGCCAAGAACTGAGCTATGGATTGAGCTATAGCTCAGTTCTTAGCTATAGAGGTCTTTCCAGAATCCATACACTTAAATGGCAATCCATAGCTGCAGAATGAAGGTGCTCCTTCGGCCGCAGAAGAAGTGGGCCGGCAAGGCAAGTATCGATCCATGGGAGGCCTGGCTGCAATGGTAAGCTCCACACCTCCACCCCAGTTTGATTTTTAGATGTGCACCTCACCCCAAAACTAGGGCTTGTTTTGGGGGTAGGGCTTATATAAGGCCCACCCCCAAAAATCAAACTAGGGTTTATTTTTGGGGTAGGGCTCACTTACGGGGAAACATGTATATGATGAATAAATAAGTAATATATGTTCTCTCTGTATT